TCCAAAAATGTTTTATTAAATTTACAGCAATTTTTAAGCGACTATTTATCACACGTGAACGCAATGCGTCTTTTATATAGTTATGATTTTAATTACATGGGGTTTTTTATGCCTTTTTTAGGATGCCATTCAAATAAAATCGTATGTTTTTTATACGAAAAAAAAATATGTGTGCCGCCTTACTGGTTCTACCTATATAGCCCTCTTTCAATGAGCATTGCATCCATGTACATTTAGGGGTGTTATGCCAGAGTCAACCACCCTGTTTGGTTTCTGTATCAATTCCTGGATGATCTAAAAGAGTAAGGGTCTATATATCTTTCTCTGCCTGTCAGCATTTGTGTACAATGAGCCACACATGGGCATTTCATTGCACAAGCTTGTCCTGTGTCGAGATGAAGTACCTCCTGTGTTCATATGTAGGAGTTACTTCATCCTGGTTGGCAAATTCTGTGAATTATAACACTTTATAGCTAACACCTCCTGGGGCCCACTATTTTACAGTGGATTTTGTAGTCTGGTAGACGTATGGCAAAGCAAAACTTTTGAAGTGAATAAATGCCCATTGACACAGGCCCTAAATCAGTGGTGGGCAAACTCTGGCCCTCCTGCTGTTGTGAAACTACGAATCCCATGAGGCATTGCAAGATTCTCACTGCCACACTCATATCTCCCAGAAGACAGATGCATGGCGGGACTTGTAGTTTCATCACAGCTGGAGGGCCAGAGTTTGCCCACCCCTGCCTAAAAATATACCTTATTCCACAGTGGAGTCACACCAGGTCTAGACTCATCACTACTGGGTCCTAGGTCATATGGTGCTGTGCTTCCCTTCTCTTCAGTGGCAGAAAGCTGTCAGACACACTTAGGGCTTGTTCACACCAATTGTGGTGCATTCCAGAGCGGTAGGTGCTGGAACGCACTGCAATCGCTCACAAAGCTTTTTGCAGTGCACCACCACGCCCCCTCCCGCCCCAGAACGCAGGGGGAATTTTTGTGAGTGATTGCGGTGCGTTCGAGCAGCTACCACTCAGGAATGAGCCGAAATTGGTGTGAACTAGCGCTTAGGGCTAGTTCACACCAAGTGCGGAGCAGAGCAGTTACAGACTGGATCAAAACTGTGTCCAATGTATTCCAATGGTATTTTGGGCTCTAGTTCACACCTGCTCTGGAACGTGTCAAAAAACACTGCACTGTGCAGAAACTCATACAGATCTGATCTGCATTTGGTGTGAACAATCCCTTACCTCATCACATACATTGCAGGACTGGCAATGATGAGTTATAGGAAGGAAGAGGTACAATTTTAAGGGGATCTCTCTCTCTAGACTGGCAAAGAAAGTGGGGCAATTGCCACATCGATTGCTTACATATGTTCATATTAAAAAAAAACGCAGCACAAATTACTTTGTGACAGTTCTAGGAAGTAGCTGCTTTCAATAACGCTAGAGGCGAGTACCCTTAACAAACCTGGCGGCTGCAAATCTCTGCTCTTCAGCGCAGAGTGCCCTTATCAAAAATGGCGACTGTGGCTTTCGACTTCCTTATACGGGCAGTGCGACTTCCCAGCTAGGCTGTGACATCGATTCCACCAATCATAAACCATGGAGGGGAATTCGAAAACATTGGCCAGCTGGAAAACGGAAGAAGCAGAGAGAGCAGACTGCATAGACAGGGGTAAGCCATTACAGGAGGCGCAATGTGTTTTTAGGCGATGGCGGAGCAGTTCAGGCCGCTCTTGTGAGGTAGCTCGAAACACTCATTATATGAAAGAATTGCGGATATGAGAGTCGTTTCATGGTATGTTTGTTCACAGTAGTACATTCGGCTGTGTATATGAATAGAGTACGGAGTGTCATCATCTGTACCGGTATATGTAGAGTAATCCCACTTCACTTGCTACAAGAAATCCGATAACTCTGTATTAGAGATCTATATAGTATGCAGATCTGTTATAATATATTATAACCATAGAAAGAGACATTGATCTGTCAATTCACTTCCAGCACTGTGTCATCAGGACTTCTATATGTAGATTAATATCACTTCCTACAAGATTATTATATGAAATTTGATGATTCTTTGTATTAGAGTTCCATAGACTATGTAGATCTGTTACAATATGCTATAACCATAGAAAGTGACATTGATCTGTCAGTTCACTTCCTGTGTTGTGTCTCATTCGGACTTGTTTATGTAGATTAATATCACTTCCTTAAAGACTATTATAAGAAATCTGATGATACTTTGTATTAGAGTTCTCTAGACTATGTAGATCTGTTACAATATCTTATAACCATAGAAAGTGGCATTGATCTGTCAATTAATTTCCAGCACTGAGTGTCATCAGGACTTCTATATGTAGATTAATATCACCTCCTACAGGACTATAATATAACAAATCTGATGATACTTTGTATTCGAGCTCCATAGATTATGTAGATCTCTTATGAGATATTATAACAATAGAAAGTGTCATTTATCTTTCCATTCTCTTCCAGTATTGAGTCTCATCCGGACTTCTTTATGTAGATTAATACCGCCTCCTACAAGACTATTATAAAAAATCTGATGATACTTTGTATTAGAGCCTCAAAGAGTATGTTACAATATCTTATAACCATAGAATGTATCATTGATCTGTCAATTCCCTTCTAGTACTGTGTCGTCAGGACTTCTATATGTAGCTGGGCTCATGCACACAAGTGTGATAAAATACTGATTTATATGCAGGATCTTGATGGCAGAAAGATCCTGCATAAAAAAAATGCATGAAATGGTCCACAAGGTTCTTCGTGTAGGCCTCATTCACACAGTTGCAGGGGGCTGTGTTTATGCTCCCAGACAGGTACAGGTGTATGTGAAGCTGTCTGTTAGAATAAGTGAGAGGTTTTTTTCAAGCGCATCCCAGTGCTTACATCTGTACAGGGACGGATGTACGGCTCTTGAGATAGACTGCACTCATCCCTGTACAGATGTAAACACTGGCATGTGAATGAGGATCCGTGCAGCTGCAGCCTGTGATTGCTTTTAACAGGCGGTTGCATGGAACACCTATTTCTCCCCAGGCACATAAACATTGCCCCCTGCATGGATATGCGGATCTGTGCACCCGTGTGAGTGAGGCCTTACATATATAAATCTCTGTAAAACGATAACATCCATAACAAAAAAACAAAACCTCTTTCCATTTCTCTAGCTCAGTTTTCAGCCTCATCATGTATGTCAGTTTTTTATGCATACATGTGTATGCAAGTTCAAGTTGCACGTGCAAGTTGGTCAGAGCCTTCCATTGGATAGTAGGACTAGGTTCAGCAACAGGTTGTCCCATCCTGCCTTGCACATTGTAGCCCATGTGTGTTTACTGGCTTTGTGACATGTGTGCTGGTCTCTCCTCTGTTTTGTTTTCTCTGATGACTTGAGCTAATGCTGGACGTGTCTCCACCAGCACTGGTAATTTTATGCAGTAGTGTGCCCATAAGGATGACAACGCTAAGGCTCCAGACAGTGCATGCAAAGGCAGCGCTGTCACCCTATAAGCGGAAGGTGAGAGAGTTTACGACTGCATCTAAAACAAAAACATATAAGATAAGGCAAATAGTGAGACATTTATTTTAAAGGCTGAGGATTTAGATACACCTACACAGATAGGCTTTTATTTGAGTATGTGAGTTAGTATTTATATGTTTATATGTTTTCTTTGCCTGGGGACACCTTAACCATACTGCCTGCATTGGCTACAGAAAAGCGGAATGTAAAACATCCCTGCTACACAAGTTGGCCTTATGCTAGTCATTCTGAGAAGTTTCTGTTTTCGAAGCAATTGCTGAGCGCTCAAAGCTCATGTATAGTCCTCTGTGGACTAAAAGTATCCTTTTGAATGCTATGTTTCAGGTTATGCCCTTGATCAGCATATTTTACAAAATGCCTGATTATTTCTTCATAGCATTAACGGCCAGGCAAAACCTTTTTTTTTTTGTTTTGAATAGAGTTAGAAGGGGTTACAGACTCTGCCCAGTTATCGCTGTCTGTGAACCCATTGATGAGATTTTGGTTTATTTCCAATTTGGTCACCAGAACAGGGAGTGATAATGTACCTCATTAATAGAAATCTAATTCTGCCCATACACGGATTTCTCTGCTTTAGCTTGCTGGAGAGCTAAAGAGTGCGGATGAAGGGATCACTCCTGCCAGCTATTGTATTCAGACAGTCAGCAGCTGTCGCAATGCCATAATAGTATCTGCAGCTGATTGACTGCAGTTACTGTTCTGCTGTCAATTTTCCTGTTGGTGGTGCCAACGGGACCACCCACGGACGGCATTTCGGCCGATATAAACAGGAAAGTGTCAAAATTTCATCTGTGTAAGGCCACCTTAATGAAAAATTTGGATCCTCTGTTTCTGTTTGCTTTATAAATGTGCCAGGTTATTTACATGTTTCTTACTATTATTGCTGCAGTAAGGGCCGGTTCACACCTAATCCAGTGCGTTATCACACAATTAGTGGCTGGAACGCACATTAAAATTTTCCCTGCACTCTGGGGCGGGAGGAGGGTGTGGTGGTGCGTTGAAGTCAATGGCACTGTAGCCACGTCTCCTGCCCTGCAGTGTGTTGGCCCGCACCAGAATGCATGTCGCAGCAATGCCTGCAGTGCGGTCCAATGCGATCACAAAGAATGGTACATGCATCTGAAGCTATACTGCTTTTTTTTTTTTTTTTTAAATACCCCCATGAAGACTTAACAAACAGTGAAATGGGCATATTTACTTACAAGTATATCATGTGTAGCCCACATATTTCTGTACTTTTATAATCTTCGGCAATTAGTCATATTCACAAATGAAAGTTTAGTGACTGCTGTTTTAATCTGCTTTTTCCCCAGAACACGTTCAAGAATTAAACCTTTTCCACAGTGTTTGAATAAATACCATGATGAGATACCATGAAGCCAGCTTAAATGTATGGTAACAAGATACATTTGTCATTCCTCCCAAAGAACTCCTTCTGTCAATTATTTGTGATATGTCACAGAAAGGGTACCATCCTAGTAACACCAAAGATATAAATAGAACATATGTAATCTCTGCATGCAAAAATGTTGGGTCTCTAGTAACACACAAACTGGAGACAAAGTTTAAGCTTCAAAAGAGGGAGACCATAGTGAAAGAGCCCCCAAGCGTAGAGAAGGGCTCAGACAAGGATGTCATTCAACAGTCTGAGCCTGAAAGACGTCTGACCTTGCAGAGGAGGCTAAGAACTGGATCCATCGAAAAAGATGACACAGATAAAAATCCAGATGAATGTGGTAAAGTCAAAACTCTTTTTGGAAAGCAGGAAGTGAAGTCTGGATTACCACAATCCAACACAGTCCCCATTGCATCCAACCATCCAGATGGATGTGGTAGAGTCAAGACTCTGTTCACAAAGCAGGAAGTGAAGTCTGGATTACCACAATCCAACACCGTCAGCAATGCATCCAACCTTCCATATGAATATGGTAAAGTCAGAACTCTTTTTGGAAAGCAGGAAGTGAAGTCTGGATTACCACAATCCAACACAGTCGGCAATACACCTAACAATCAGTCTGAATTAAAGACAAAAGGCCTGAATAGTGCAAATGGGAAACCATTCCAACCAAAATCTCTTGTAAATGGGCTAAAAGCTCAAAATACATATGTGTCTAGGTCTTGTGAAGATGTGAAGGGGCTTTCTAGTAGGAATGTAAAGGGAAATGATGCATCTAATGGCTCTGGCAGCACTGGACAAGATATAATTAGGACACCCGTCGCAAAAAATGGAGGTTTGGATAAACCAAAAACACCGAAGAGTGGAGCGACTGGGCTGTTCAGGTCTACATCAACAAGGGATGTAAGAAGCCCGGCCATAACACCAAAACGCCCAGTGAGCACATTACCTATTACTCCGAGGAAGACACCTGGTACAACCAGGCGGCAAGAAAAACCGGAGCTAACCACAACTCCATCTGAATCCTTACAAGTAAGAGATGAAGCAGTCAGCTTACAACTTAATTATGTAGATGAACCTCACAAAGAAGAAAACTGTGCGCTCGCTGTTGCTGTGAGAGTTAGACCATTCAGCAAAAGGTTGGTAAGATAAGTTCCTTGATGCTCCATAGTTCTATACTGACTTCTTATTCTAGAAATACTTTGTTTAAATTTTTTTTAAAGTAGGACTATGGTTCTTTAAAAAAAAAAAAAAAAATTGGGTTATTATAAGTGCATGTGCACTTGGTTTTCTCTTAACCCCCCTGCAAAATACCCGGTGATCCTGCCAGTCAAGTCCACCCAATGCATGTGATGGTGTGGTAACAATGCCGCACTGCTCCTGACTTCAGAGCAGAGTTGCCACTCCTATGTAGGCTTGGTCTGTTTGCACTACAGTGGGATGAAAATACGTTTTGGGGGTGTGGTTATGAGCATTGTTACTGCTGATTCACAAGCTTGTAGCGTGTCCTGGCCTCACCTAGTTCTGCCCACTGCTTTCTGGATCTACAGCACTGCTTCTACCGGAAATGTGAGGCACAAATGAAGGAGGATTAAGCTCAGTCTTTGAGGCTTGTGACTCACGTAGTAAATGGATTTGGTATTTGTTTATACTGTCATACAGAAGCCTTTAATTACACTTGTTATTAAAAATAGAGCTGATATTTTTATAATCAGGCTGACGTTATATTGTGTTGATATTTTAGCTGCAAATAGTGGAGATGCTTCTCTCAACGCATGCAAAGTCATGACAAATGTCTTCATTTTGAAATATCTCTTAAGACCTAACTACTGACATATGTATGTTTGTTTGAATAGAGTGGGCAGGTTTGATCGGATTTTTATTTTTGTCTGTGGCCCATTTGGGGAAATTTTCCCAGGCTTCCATTGTGACGCCTACTGTATATATATATGAATGTGGTTTTCACTGTGACAGGAAGGAACAGACAGCTGACAGGAGGTGGGGGTAGTGCTCTGCAATAGGAACACAGACGGCAATAAAATTCTGATAATCTTTCCTAGTTTTATCCAAAACAAAATAAACCCCCTTCGCATCCAGGCTATTTTTCAGTGTTCAGAGCTGCAGTACTTTGACGTTTATTCCGTCATGCAACGCTGTACTGAAATACATTTTATACCATTTTTTTGGGGACAGATAGAGCTTTCTTTTGGTGGTATTTAATCACCACTGGGGGTTTTATTTTTTACTATATTAAGGGAAAATTACGAATTTAAAAACAAAACAAAAACTGTTCCCCCTATATTAAATGATAAAACATTTATTATTACCCAATTTTTTGGTAAAATATAAAAGACGGGGTCATGTCAGGTAAAAAGACACCAAACATGTCAAGCCTTAAAATTGCGCGCGCAAAACCTAAAAAAACTACAATACCCAAAATTGGCCACAGGCGACGCTTTAAAAGCTTTTACCGCTCATCAGTTTAGTGTTATCAGTGATTGATAGCCCTAAAATGATTGCTCTCACTCCGACGTTCACGGCGATATGTAACATGTGTAGCACAATTTTTTTAACTTTTTTTATGTTTTTTTACACTTATTGTTATTGCTATTACTTAGGGGGATAACAATCCCCCTACATAATAGCAAAGGCACACTGACAGGTCCTCTTTATGGAGACATTAGGGGTCTCTCAGACCCCTAATGTCACCTGGGGACCCCAAAAGAAGCTGATGAAGCACAGATCTGCTTCATCAGCTTCTTCTCTCTGGCTATAGCAGCCAGATGACTGACAGGTGAATGCGGAAGTGATGTAATACACATCACTTCTGCAAACAGACCTCGGAGGGAAATCAGCAAGGAGGAAGATGCTGACCTCCCTCGCATCTTACCCCCTGACACCCTCCCGAGCCGCAGATGGGGCAGCGGATTCCGGGATTCCGGGATTGAAGGTGAGGGGTCGGGGGGGGCGGCGGTGGCACTCGAGGGGGACACGCAGCCAGCAGATGCATGCGATCCGTATGCTATAGAGCCGCCAATCGTGTGTATGTGAAACCGCCGGTAACGGCTCTTTGCATTGAACGGGCTTTTTCTGCCTGTGCACGCAAGCAAAAAAAAATAAAATATGCCGTCTGGAGACGGCAAACCCGCAAATGCGAGTCCGCCGTCCGTCCGTTTTTTTGCAACGGGCGGACGGCAACAGGTTACAGTGACATGTCAAGCCAGTTTGACATGTTGTAAAGGAGCCACCACTCCAAGCTCACTCCTGTGATGGACTACAATCTCATCTTTAGTTTACAAATTTGTATTGAGATTGTAGTCCATCACAGGAGTAGATTGGAGCGATGATTACTTTACAACATACAGGGACCATGGGGAAAAAAGTAGCCACCCTCCAGAAGGAAGGAACAGTGTCAGCACCAATTCAGAGATGATTTGAGGATCTACAGCTGAGTGATACACAAATAAGATACATTTGTATTAATAGTTAGGGTACTTGAATGCATTTTTAAGATTAAAGTCCTTAGTTTAGTGTCACTTTTTTTTAAGGTGACATTATTTTAATAATCAGATAGCTTGACAGGTGATGAATATTTTGATATTGGGGCACTAACATAAGTCACTTTGTATAATTGTATTTTTATAAATATACCATTTAATGTTTTTGCTAAAGAACATGTTTTGACTAGTAATGTAATAGATGTTCCTGTTAATAAAAATATCTCTGGTTATTCTAGGGAAAAGATTGAGAATGCCACCCAGGTGGTATTTATGAGTGGGAAGGAGACCGTTGTTCAACCCCCAGACTCCAAGGAACGCCATAACTTCCTATTTGACTTCTCATTTTGGTCCTTCAATAAATCGGATCCCAACTATGCAGGGCAAGAAAAAGTATATGAGAAGCTAGCTGTTCCTCTCTTAGAGTCTTCTCTCCTGGGATACAATGCTTGCTTGTTTGCCTATGGACAGACTGGATCTGGGAAGTCCTACACGTATGTATAAGATTGGTGAGGTCTTGTTCACACCAGATGCGTTAGCATACGCTGGGCATGTTCCAACATACTTTATAAACAAGGCAATTTGCTTTGCTTCCTATTAAAGGAGAACTATGAGGTGAGTGAAAATCACTCAGCCTCGTAGTTCGAGCCGACGTGTGACAATGAAACTGTCTCAGGTCGGCTCAATAGATTGGAAAGTGAGCGAACACATAACGTCGCTCGCTCACTTCTCGATCATTTCCCTGCAGAGAGCCGTGACTGTCAGTCACAGCTCCCTGCAGGGATCCCCCCTCCCCTGTCCAATACTTATCTGCAAACAGACCTCTGACCAGCTCTGACTGGCGGAACGGACGGGGGAGGGAGCGGGTACAGCTGGCTCTGCCTCTAGATAGGCAGAGCCAGCTGTCAATCATGCAGACTGTAATGTCGGGATCCGTCCCAGCTGCGGCGGTCTCAGTATACTGAGCTTTAGGTCACGGGAAGACGCTAGTTTGTGTCCTCCTGTGACCCTGGGGAGAACTATGGGGAAAAGCACTGACCTCATAGTTCTCCTTTTAAGCCTTTGCCCTGAAAAAAGTACTATGTGACTAAGATTTTATGAGACTAGCAAAATTAGTTGTATGTATAGTATATATTTTTACGACATAGAATGGTTAAAACTTTATCAGCTTTTTTTTTTTTTCACCATCTGGGAGATTTCCTGTTTTGACAGTGGTCATCAGGACAAATAAAAAAGGGGAATCTCCCAAGCAGGACACGGCAATAAAAACCTGAAAATGGTTCTGATCGTTCACCACTTCATCCAAAAGTAAGAAAAAAAAAAAAAAAGGTTTGCCTTTGACTCTCTTTAAGATGTAATTGTACCTTTTGGCACAGTTACACCTTTTTTGTAGCTTGAAGTGCTCCCAGTCCCTCCAGCCAGTTTTATACTTACCTGTCCTAGATCAAGCAAGATACCACTGACAAAGATGCTTGCTGAAATCTGAGCCAGGTCTGCAAATATGCTGTACATTCTTTCTTTAGTGAATGGAGAGAGCACATTGCCTGGGCAGTTGTAGGGAGGGGCTTAATTAGGACCTTGAAAACGTTATATGTTGTAATGACCGAATATTCTCATAAAACCATCTACAACACTGCACTATACACTGTCTCTTTTGCTTTTGCTGCAGTATGATGGGTTTTGATGAAGAAGTAGGCATTATTCCAAGATTTTGCAATCAACTCTTTTCCCGGATTCAGGCGACAAAGCAGCAGGTAATGAGTAACCATTGTGTTCTACAAGCTGTTTTATTAGAAAGTGAAAAACAAACTGAACTGGAACTCTGTACAAAGGATATGTAATTAACAGTTCTAACCTGGAGTGACCTTCAGGCACTGAGTTTCGCATTAGGCGCTTGCCATTCTGGTAACAAGTTAGCCACTGAGTTCTTTCCAGGTCCAGATCCATTGGCTACCCATATCTTCCTGTACCATCCAGATCTTTGCATGGCAGGCCATTTCAGTTCTCTCCAAAAGGGATGCAAAATCATCCCTGGTGGGGCTCTTCCTATAGTGCCAAAGATCCTCTATCCCACATGGAGAAGTAGAGTTGTCCGAAGTGGTAGGAGATGGCGCTTCATGTTGGGCCGAACGCACGCTGTCTGAGGCGTGAGGAGACGACATGTTGTGTGCTTCATGTGTTTTCATGGACCTAGATAAGTATTTAGGTGGCTCAGGCAGACCATCTTCTAAGCTCATGGTCCCTAGGATCCGGTTTTCACCCTTCCCTTTCAAGGTTTAATCTACAACAAGATCTGTAAGTGCTTTTTGGTCTTCCCTTTTTTTTTTTTTGCGTCGGGCTACTGTTCCCAGATTTGCAAGGCTGCTACCTGGTCTTTTAGTCACACGCTATGCCAGCTGATGCCAGATTTGGGCGTAAGGTCATTTGGGCAGTCCCCAATTACTGTTTTATTTTTCTTGGGGTTGTTAGCGTTTGTATGCTATGTTGCCCAGCCCTCAGTTCCACTGCTTTTTGGAGGTCCTGATGGTGCATGACTTACTGTGTCCTTCAATGGAGAAAGAAGGAAATCTACATTTTGTCCCATCCCCGCATTGTTTATGCTCCCACTTTCAGTACTGCTTTGCTACAAAACTGAGTCGTGCTAACTGCAGGACTTTATCCTGGTCTAGCCTACAGTTTTTGTTTTGTTAGCCAGTCTCCAGTCCTTCTCCTGTAGGCAACAGTATAACCCGAAGCATAGTGAGTGCAAAAGTCCTATTATTTATTTAAATTTTTTTACATATTGAAAGGCGGGCATTTTGGGTTTTAATCAGAATATGTTTTAATCTAATATACCTTTTTGGCTTTGCTATAGATCTCTTTTCATCTGGAGATGAGCTACTTTGAAGTGTACAATGAGAAGATCCACGACTTGCTGGTTTTTAAATCTGATAATGAGCAGAAGAAACAAGCAGTAAGAATTAATAGTAGATCAATTTAAAGTTTACAGTGGTTTGATCCAGTCAAAACATTTTTTTATATGTAATTATTAAAAAAAAAAAAAAATGAAATGTATATGTTTTTGATGCAATTGGTAATATTTGAGGGATACATGGTTTACTAGATGACACTTATTGGGGTATTTGGCCATATTTGGGACACAGTTAAACAATTTTAATATTTTCTTTTTTTGGGGTCATAAATTATTGTGGTTACATTCTATTTAATATACTAATTGATTTTATTTATTAGCCCAGTGCAATATTCTGACATTTATTTATACGTTGTATATATCACTTGCACAGCTGCTTGAAATATATGAATGGAGGTAGCTTGGATAGGGGTGTGGATACTTTTCTGTACAGGTTCAATAAATAGTACATATTTTGAGTTATTAGTGTGGACGTTTCTGAAAGTATAAAGTGATGTGACCTTCACATTTTTATATTGTATAACATTTTTCATAAGCAGGATTTTGTGTACTGCTTCGACGGGCCAGGGCTGTTTTGGCAACAAAAGGGGGACCTACTCAATATTAGGCGGGTGGTTTTAATGTTATGTCTGATCAGTGTGTTTGTGTGTGCTCATTTAAAAAAAAAATGTATTATTATTATCTTTGTAGCTGAGAGTACGGGAGCATCCACTGCTAGGACCATATGTGGAGGATCTCTCAACGTAAGCAGCATTTCAGAGACTATTTGGATTGTTTGTCAGTTAAATCTGCTCATTATTAATAGAACAGAAAGTTTTAATGATAAAAAACAAATGTTCTGTTCATGAATGCTAATACAGGTTTTTTTTTTTTTTTTTGTAGCAATGTAGTGTCTTCTTTTCAAGACATCCAGGTGAGAGTTGGTTCTTGTGCTTCCACCTGCATCATTTACATGATCATTTTGTTCTCCTTTTGCTGTATGACGCTTTCAGTGGTTTGCTAGAAGGTTCCACCTCCACTATGGCCAGTTGTAGTGGCTGTTTTACTTAGGACATACGTGACATTGGTTTTGATACAACCCGGATATGAAAGTGGACCTCAAATCAAAAAGTGAGGATTTGCTTTGTTCTAGGGAACCTCTAGGAATGTTAATTGTGCCTAAGCAGCAGCCTCATTTTTTTTTCTTAACTCCTTGAAAAATAAGAGCACATTTCCTGGCATATGAGGGTGCTTAGACATGACTGTGCGTATAGTCCCAGAACTGCATATCTACAATGTGAATTCCAGACATTACTGCCTCAGACTGCTAGTGTCACAAGATTTGGAAAAACTATTGTACTGCTCACTTTTCTAATGCTGAAGACTGAATGTTCAGAAATAAAGGGCGCAAACCAAAAGGTGAAAGAGTCTAAACATGTCTTTAATTTTTCACAAATCAATTTATGTAAAAAACTCCCCCTTCATCAGGGCTACAAGATAACAATGAATACAATCTCAATAAAAATAAATGTATATGTATCTCAAAAAACGCCAGATTCTAATAACTGATACATTCTCGCATGGGAAGTAATGATGCATACAAAAGATAGGATTAGAATAACATTTATATAACCTAAAATCAAATGTCCTCTATTTTTTTATTTGTTTTTCTTTTAAAATGTACATTCTGAATAAACCCATCTTTTTTTTTTTATTGTTGTCTACTACAAAAATGATACATTTGCACTAAAAGTGGAACCACAGATTTTGCAAATATTCATGATTTTAAATGGAAAAAAATGTTTTAACAGGCAAACTTTATCTCCTCTAATAGTGCCTACAGATAAAGGTGATATAGCAAATGGCACATAAAATTGACATGGTGTATTCATTGTCATGATCTGAATTAATGAAAATGCAGATGTGCATATGGAAAAAATAAGTACAGGGCTGCATTTACCACCATTTTAAATCCATGGCATTGGAACTGGTTTATCCAGATCAGGTGCCCGAAAATTACACCTACTTAATAATTATGCAGGCTGTAACTGTCTTAATTAAACCTCCGGTATCTAGGGTCTGCTATTCTCTATTGATGTATGGGGTGTTGTCATGTCAAGATCAAAAGAGCTCTTTAAGACCCTGAGAAAGAAAGTTGTGGATGCTTATAAATCTGGCAAAGACTTTAAAAAGATCAGCAAATTATTTGAAATTAGTCACTCCACTTTGAAGAATATAATCAATATATGGCTTATATTTCAAATGACTGCTTATTTGTCCAGGTCTGGCTGACCCATCAAATGTAGCCCAAGAGTTGACTGTCTAATATGAAAAGTCTCCAAGAATCCCAAAATTTTACTACAGAGTGTTCTGGTAACTCTTGCAACAGTTGGGATCAAAGTGCATGCATTTACAATCAGAAAGAGACTGCACCAATTCAACTTGTTTGAGAGGTGTGTTAGAAAGAAAGCCTTTGCTGTCAAAAAAGAACATTAGAGCAAGACTACAGTTTGCCATTAAACATACAGGCTTCAGGGCCTGGACAGCTTGCAGTCAACCATTCATTTTGCATCATATTAAAGTGTGCTTGGTGAGAATGTGAGGCCCTCTGTTCCAAGTTTGAGCTGCAAATTGATCTTGACACAACAATGGTTTTAATCATACTAGCAAATCCACCAAAGTGGCTCATAAAGAAGAAATGGAGGCTTATGGACTCTCCTACTCTTAGCCTTGATTTCATACCCATTGAAACTTTTGTAGGAGGATTTTGAAATGGGCAATTAATTACTGGAAATCCAAGAACATCTTGCAACTGAAGGAATTTTGCATGGAGAAGTGGTCAAAAACCTTGATGTCAGAGACTGGTGGGCAGTTGTACAAAGTGCCTACTGGAAGTAATTTCTGCTAAAGGGGGCAGCCCAGCTTCTGATGTCAAGAGTGTACTATTTACTACATCATTGCATCTGTTGATATTTTTGTTGACTAAATAATTGAAAAGGCTTGAGGTTTATTTAATCATATCACTGTTATCAGGGGCGTAACTAGAAATCACAGGGCCCCATAGCAAAATTTTGTATGGGGCCCTGTCATTTCTAATTATACCCCTTGCAGAGCCCACTCGAGATCCCACCTGAGGGTGAACTTGCAGAGCCCACCATAGACTCTCTATGGTGGGCTCTGCAGGGTCACCCTCAGGTGGGCTGGTCGCACTCCTTACCTGTCTGCCTCCTCTTCCTCCACGGTCGCTGATGGGCCCCGCCTCCTCCGTTGCCGGGCCCACCTTCTTCGTCACCGGGCTCCGCCTCCTCCCCTGCTGCCGACCACGGGCCTCACCCCCTCCTCCACTGCTGCTGCTGGCTCTCATTGACTCTGTGGAGAGGAATGCGCTGCTGCACAGATTACTGTTAGTGATCTGAACAGCGGCGTGTTCGTCTTCAGCTGCCAGTGAAAGCCATAAGCAGAGGATCCCATAGCAACCCAGGAGGCCTGCACAGCATCTGGCCGGGCCCCACTGTCCCCCAGGCCCCATAGCGGCCGCCTGGGTCACTATAGTGATTGTTACGCCACTGACTGTTATCTGTAGGCATTGTGCGAATAAAGTTCTACTGTTTGCCAGTTTAAATCTGTTCAAAAAGTAAATTTTCACGAGGTGTAGTAAACATTTTTTTTAATATGGCTATATAAGGTAGTTCTGTGCCCAATTTTGTGTATAGATCTTTATTTCTTTGTATTTTAGAGTTGGCTTGAGTTGGGCAACAAACAGAGAGCCACAGCTGCTACAGGGATGAATGACAAAAGTTCTCGATCTCACTCTGTGTTTACACTTATCTTGACCCAGACCAAGGTAATTGCTATCCTAGTCTTCTGGAAAAGGTGGCATTTCCTCCTATAAATGTAATGAAATTCACCCTCTCAGTGTATGTTCTTCCATAGACGGAAGTTGTGGATGGGGACGAACACGATCACAGGATTACCAGCCGGATCAGTCTTGTAGATCTTGCTGGGAGTGAGAGATGTGCATCAGCAAAGACCAGTGGAGACCGTTTAAAGGTATGAATCTTTTAAGAGCAATTTATAGCCTTGGGAATGCTGAAATGTTACACAAAAAAACATTACATTTTAATGGAAATCTTTTGAAAATTTCTAAGTGTACTTGTAAGAAGAAATATGTAATGTATTCAGAAGCTGAAATTTAAAATGTATTGTGTTAGCCAATAAATAACATCAATGTCATTCAGCTGTGCCTTCATTTATGGGGACATAGTATTTAAAAACAAGTGAATTGCTGAGCGCAGAATCTGCCTTTTTTTTTTTTTAATTTAAAAATGTACACTTAATATTTCTATTTTTTCTCTATTGTATTTTCATCTTGGCAAAATCAAGTTTCTATATTCTTATTACATTGAAATTAAGGACGCTATTGATAAAGCATCGGGTATCATCTGGCAGTTTATTCCACCACTGTTTCACTGCTATTTTGTTACTTATTACTTATTTTTTTTCTACCACTTTAAAATCATAAAAATTTGAGAAGTGTATATAAACGCTAACCATGAACTTCTTTGCTCTGTTAAACCTATTTATGCCCAATTTAAAGTGTATATCAAAAACATTTTATTTTCTCCATAGGGAGGGGAGGGATTAGAACCCCTGTCAAGTTTTACTGCTATCTGGGGCTCCATTTAATAGATATTTCCTTACTTCCTTTCCCCGTCCAGTTTTACCAGACAGGAAGTGAAATAAAATCTGCATCAGGGACACAGACAGAAATAAAAAGAAAAAACCTAACGGGGGCTCTAGCCTTCCCCTGATTTACTGAAAAGGTATTTTATGTCTCTCTGTGTTGCTTTTGAAGAGTTCCCTTCACTTCCTGTCTGGTAAAACATCAGCAGGATAGGAAGTGAAGACAACCCTCTCTCATGCAGCCCCAGATAGCAGTGAAAACTAACAAAGGTTCTAACCCTTCCCCACTCTATCCAAAACAAAGGAAGAAAAACAAAAGTTTGGGCTGAACATGCAATGTAATGGTTAATTGCTTTTATATATCCATAAATAATAGCACTGTGGTTTGTTTTTTTTGTTACACAGGAGGGCATCAGTATCAACAAATCCTTGCTTACTTTGGGAAAAGTGATCTCTGCTCTTTCGGAGAGCTCACAAACTAAAAAGAAAGTTTTTATTCCATACAGGGAGTCTGTCCTTACTTGGTAAGTGTGATCCTGGGAATTGGTACTGGGAGAGGGGCAGTCTAAGGGCCTGGACACAAGGCCACAAAAAATGCAGTCATTTTATCAGTACTGTTCTTCTGTTGCTCTCTATTGGCCCGTAAGTTCAGTAATTTACACGTGTATAAATGTGTACATGCATACGTGTGTTAATGTCATAGGAGAATTTTGCATATATATACTGTACAGACAGTTGCATGTATAAATGCAAGCACTTTATGGCTTTGTGTGTGTGTGTTTTTTTTTTTTTTTTAATGCAGAATCTTTCTGCAAGCATCTGCCAGAAAAATCTTGCATAGATGATCAGTATTTCATTATGGCCGTGTGCATGAGACCTTACCCGTTTGCTATGTCTAATCTTATAGTCAGTCTGGTTAAAGTTAATCTGTATGGAGAGAAATATGGGATCTACCAATGCTAACAAGTCTGTCCTGGCTTCACTATCTAGTAAGTCACTAGCCTGGAACAAGCATGCAGCTGATGAAGTCTGGAAAGCCTGAAGTTCCATCCTGTGTTGTGTTATTCTTGGTCTGGGGCTCACTAGGTGGTGAAGCCAAGATTAGGAAGACATCCCTGAAGCATGGCTCCTTAAAAACCAAGTTACCAATTACACCTTCCACATTACTATTTTTACAGCTTTACCCAGTGTAAAGCAACCCGCCCCTTTTTTGTTTTGTGTGTAACCAATATTCGTAGACCTGCTTCTAGAGATTATGGGGAGCTGTTGACCATATAAACCATGCACACAGTGCGTAAAGATCAGTAAACCTGCGTGGGTCATAACTTTCTACTAACAACATCAAAGGCTGCTGGTTGTGAGAATAGGTTGAACTCGACGGACTTGACTTTTTTTCAACCTGACTAACTATGTAACTAATGTTACTAGGAGTGGGTCAGGTTGGGATTTAAAGTGAAAATCAATCTCTCAAAGTATCATTTAAATATTTGTATTATAGTATGATAGTTATTAAGCCCTGGGGCCTACAATCGCAATATATTTGACTGTGAGAAGCTGCGCATGATCTTTTTCCTCTATGTCTTTGGCGAGAAAATATTTGGAAATTGGCTTTCCTTCATATATATAGTATTCAGATATTTATAATTATATGCATGAAGCTGTGTAACCACAAATGTAATACATAACTGTAATCCAGACTGGGCAGTGATAGAACTTCTGTATTATAAACAACATGGTATAAGCTGGAAATCTTTTTTCAGTCCGCTAATAATGGTTTGTGTTTTTGCAAACAAAATGCGTTCAATTTATTTTTTATTATGATTTATTTTGTTAAATGCTTTCAGAGAACTGAAAAGCGGAACTCCAGGAATTTATCTTTTTTGCAAACTTGCGTTGCTTGATGTAAGCATCCATATCTGGAGGACTGCTGGGGATACTGAAAATCGCTGTAGTGGTCCACAGTGTGATAGCTGTGATGTTCTGGGTGCTGCTCCAACAGCTTCCCCTCTGCACACTGAGCAGAGGGAGTCACACACTCAGCACTGCCGTCATTCAGAGAACACGTTGGGTGAATTTTATGAAAACTGGAGCAGACACATTCTGAAGCAGTTGCCCATGGATCAATCAGCTTCTATCTTCAGTTTTTTCAGTTAAGATTTGAAAATAAAACGGAGAAGCCGTTTGTTTGCCATGCACAGCTGCTCCAGATTTTGTCTGCTCCAGTTTTGATAAATTCCCCTCATTGTAGTATAACGTTTGGTATTTATTGAAAACGATACATGTTCTCTGAATGGCAGCTGTGCCGAGAGAGTGACTCCCTGTGTTCAGTGTGCAGAATGAAAGCTTCTGGAGTAGCAAACAGAAGATCATGGCTATCACTGTATGTGGTGTGGACTGCTACAATGATTATCGGCATCTTCAGCAGCTAACCAGATATTATATTTATATTTGCATCAAGCCAAGTTGGACCAATGAAAGTAAAAAGATAATTCTGGAGTTCCTCTTTAACATGTCAATGTAGAAAAGCTGCAATAAGAAGTGGAAAGCAAATGTTTTTCAAAGACCTTAGAGAAGCCTAGATTTATATACGTGTACTAATCCTGCTAATCGGTTTACTTTTTTTCTGGGTTCATAAAGGTTATTGAAAGAAAGTCTGGGAGGCAATTCTAAAACGGCCATGATTGCTACAATCAGTCCTGCTGTCAGTAACATTGAAGAGACGATGAGCACATTGAGATATGCCAAACAAGCTTGTCTGATAATAAACATTGCCAAGGTGAACGAAGACATGAACGCGAAACTGATCAGAGGTGAGGGTCTCATGTTATAAATCACCAGCTAGAAGAAAAACTAGCATGGAGATGATTTATTTCTTAGATGAAGCTTGGGCCAACTGTGTTCTTTTGCCTTGGTCATAAATGTTTACTCTCGATGAACTCAAACTGCGCTGTAATTTTAAATTGAATGATTCTTGAGGTTAGAAACTTTTTTCAGCAGGTTGTATAAATTTGTGAAAAAGCAAATCTGCAATAACATCGGATTCATTCACTTTTTATTAACTTCTGGACGAAAACATTTAGATGACATTCTTGTCACATGACAGTGGCCTCTGCAATGCTAAAAGTAAAACTGAGCCACAGTGTTTCCATGTTTTCCTGTTCTGCATCGCCATGAGGGCATTCAAATCTTTTATACAGTTATAAAAGCATCTATAAACATGCAGGTATGACGGCTGCTTAGTTGGTTAACATAATCTGACAATAAGTATCCAGTGTTGGAGGTAAGATTGATTGTAAGCAGAAGTTAATAACTAGATGATGTGTTGTAGTTCATTCTCCAGCACCTATACAAATGGATGGCTTGTGCTGGAGCTGCCATGCAGTACCATGCTGTGGCTTCATCTTTGGTGTTCATCTGAAGGAGAATGAAAAGCCGAGTAGTTATACATGCTGGGAGTGAGGAATGAGCAGACGAGGTTCTGATGGGCCCCTAAATGCTTTGTATTTATTGACTGGCATGTATGTTGGCAAATGTGTGGTTAAAGGACAACCCATCCAGCAAATAGAATTTTTTAATTCTCAATGGAAGTAACGTGGATGCTAGGTAAATCCTCCATATACCCTTTGCATGTAAATGGGTACAAATTACACTGTCACCCGTTAGAGCTCATCCTGTTTTGTGTAGAGCTAAACAATATAACAATAAACCTGTTATGTGATTTAGACCTGAAATCTGAGATTGAGAAGATAAAAGCAGCTCAGCTATCTGCCAAGAATTTGGATTCCGAGAAATATCGACGTTGTCAACAGGAAATAACCTCTCTAAAGATGAAACTGAGCCAGCAGGAAATGGAGATGTCTGAGTTACACAGGTGAGAAACTGGGAGAAAATAGTGTTCAAATCCTTTTTTCTTTTATTACAGCAATGTGAAACATGGTTTCTTGTGGCCCTCCTTTACTGCTCTTCTAGTCTTAGACAAAAGTCTTAGACTTTACATTTACATTTTATTGCCATTTTCTTAAAGCTGTGCTTCAGGCAGATATGAAAGACACAAATTAATGCAGCATTGTATTAATGCATCCTTATTGTACTTTTGTTCAATGCAAACAGTGTAAGCACCTGTATTTGACTTGGTATTAGCCTGTTTCAATCCACTGTATAGCATAGCTCAGATCAGTGGAGGAGGAAGCAGCACATGAAGCCAATTAGAAAAATAAAGAAAGAAAGAGATCTACCTAGGGATATGCCAAGGCCCCAGGAAGAGGGGCTTTCAAAAAATACTGAATGCTCTCTTGTTCTATATAAAGGTACAAATTCATTTTATTAATGTAACATGATTAAACATCCATTCAATAAAACATGATTATTCCGTGTGATTCATACAATACATCATCATCAAATAATTCATTTCTATGACATGATTGGTTAGTTCATCAATGTGGTCCCTGTTTTTTCTTTCAAAAAAATACCCCAACATGTTTCACCCTGTTGGGCTTTTTCAGGGGGACAAAGGTTGTGTATCCTAGATAGAGAGCAATACGCATGTATTAGATTGGGGACTTTATGCCTATATCGGACAAATATACATCAAAGTTATTGTCAGAATCATCAAATTTATATATATTTATATTTCATGCTTACATGAAATAGTTTCATCAAGTTCATGTCAATGCAAAATAGTAGATGGTTAAATTACATTCACCGGAAAAGATGGAATGGAAGAGCAAGTCAGGCACGGGAGTTGCGTCAGGAGAGCAAAGATGAGACGTGCAGCACCCAGTCGCTAGAGACCCAAGGATCGACCGCAGTTGATTAGGTGAACATGCAGCTGGAGGTACCCAATAAAATATAAACCAATATTCCAGACCAAAATCAATGATATGAATATATAATTAATCCTATTTTTATTTTTTGTGTTAAATTGTGCAAACATGATGGAGATAAGGTATAATCAATAAGATCCATTTAAATGTAGTTCATCCAGTGTGCAGTAGTGTTATATATAGTGAAAAGAAATTATCACTCGGATACTTATCTTTTGGATATTCATGTGCATATTATAAAATATAAATACAAAAATATATAAAATATATGCATATATATTATTGATGTAATAAGATAACATGCTTGTATTTCTAATTAATTTATCCAGTGGATAGATACATAAAATGTAATGTCAGTCATGTGTGCCCAAATCCAAAAATAAGCATGTTAACTGATATGTGAAAACAATAATAAGTGCAAATATAAGCAAAAAAAAAAAAATTCATCAAACTAGGGTTTATCCAAATTTCAGCCCATACATTCGTGAAGGCTGTGTATTTAATACCCATTTATGTAGTGTGGGTATATAATGACATGATGTGTTAGACCAAAAACATGATGTGGTAAATCAAAACCAAAATCAAACCATGATGAGAAAAAAGTGCATTTACCAAAGCATGATATATTGTAAAGTGCCAAGTGATATTTATGTTCCTTCATGATCAATTGTACCTTGTATATCCTTTGCCTCCAAAGCAGTCCTCCCCAGTGCCGCACTAACATGGCCGACATTGCGGCCATTATATGCTAACTCCCGAACGCCGCGGCACCGCCCCCCGGGGCCACGGCGTGGTGGGAGGGCCATATGCAGATCCAGTACATGCCGTCACAACACGGACGCATCTTGTATGTTTCGCAGGTGTAGCGATCCCTCAAACTCCATTTCCATGCGGCAGCATAATGGATTTCGTAGTAAAGGGCACTGAGAGCACTTCCCCCACCTATAGAGGCCTTTGTTTCTTGGCATCAAAATTGTACTTTTGTTTTTCTCCAAGTGACTGAGTTAAAGTGTCCCTCAAAGATTTAGATTTTCGAAAGACCAGCTCTGGTTGTTCTCGAATATACTTACCTAGTATTCGGTCTGACGTCAAAATTGGCCAATGTTCGGCAAGTATCTTCCGAATTAGCACATGTTGTCGGTTATAGGTTAAAATCAGTTTGGTGGTGATTGGGGTGTTTCCAGAGTCTCCTTTCTTTTTATACAGCAAGTCACTCCTGTTTTGATTATTAGCCCTTTGAAAGGCGATCTTTAAGCAAGATTTGCTAAATCCCCTTAGCGTTAAACACAGCGTTAGATTTGCTTCATGTAGGAAATCAGAGTGTTGAGTACAGTTTCTTTTTAATCTAAGGTATTGTCCATAGGGAATGCTTTTGATGAGGGGTGCCGGGTGCGCACTTGTAGAATGCAATATCGTATTGCCCGCCGTGGGTTTCATGTACAAAGTAGGTGCAATATTTAAATCGTCTGTGATAAATTTCTGTGCCCAAAAAGGAAATTCTCTTATCATATTGCATAGTAAATTTCAAATTGTACAGGTTGTCGGAGAGCAATGCCATACATTCTAGCAATTCCTGATGTGATCCGGTCCACAGAATAGGAACATCATCGATGTATCTTAGCCACATTAGGACGTGACCAAGGCTTTCCATATATTTGTCGTCCGACATCAAAGACCACTCCCACCCCCTCAGGTACAGGTTGGCATATGATGGAGCATAACGTGTCCCCATCGCCACCCCCCGCACCTGGAGGTAGTGGGAGCCATCAAATGTGAAGACGTTGGTTGTAAGTACGTGTTCCAAAAGACTCATTACAAATTCCACGTATTCCCATTGGGATTTGGGTTGTTCCAATAGGAATCTTTTAATTGTTTTTAACCCTAATACATGTGGTATGGAGCTATATAAAGCTTCAACATCTATAGCTACTCGCAATGTGTCTTTTGGACCACTCACATCGTCTATAAGTTGTAATAAGTGAATTGTATCCTTCACATATGAAGGTAGGGTTGAGACATGCGGTCTCAAAAAATCGTCTATGAGCATACTAGCGTGCTCATTCTGACATGAGATGCCTGAAATAATTGGACACCCTGGTGGGTCATAAGTGTTTTTATGTGTCTTGGGTAGCGCATAGAACGTAGGAGTATGTGTATATTTGATATCAAGGAAATCCAAGGTATCTTTAGATATTAATGTCTTAGAGCATTGTTAATAAGAGATTTACATTTTTTACTGAATATATGAATTTGCTCTCGATCAATGGTATTATACCACTGTTCATTATTAAGTATCCGTAGACACATTTGTTTATACTTGTCACTGTCCATTATTACCACATTACCTCCTTTTATCAGATGGTTTGATAATAATATTATGGTTATCCTGCAGACTGCAGGGAGGTGTTCTAAGTCATCATATCTCTTCTAAAGGCGTTTTAATTAGGGCTACGCAGGTTTGTATAGTTGGATGATCCATTCGAACGAACGTTCGAAGTGCCCAAAAACCGATGAGGATTATCAAATGAGGAAAAATCGTCATTGGTCAAGTGTTCATTTATGACTGTCTCCTGTCTCCTTTTCATCCATGGTCATGATTATTAGTTCTTTTTACTTTTTTAGAAATATGGCCAGTGTGGGTCTCGTCCGCCTAAAATGCGGGTTGAGAATAGTTTTTACGATTGGATGAAAAGGAGGAAGAGATATTGGAGGACATTGATTCTAGATCTAAGTCCCGCTCCTCATACCTCTGTGATCTTGGCATGTAGGCTCTTGATCTTCCCTGTGTATTGTTGTTCAATCTATACGCACGTCCTAACGCATAGGCTGCATTATCGTTTTTGAAACTTTTGATCTTTATTATGTAGTAAATGTTTTGTAAATGTTTCTATATGACCTTTAATGTCTTTCTCCTTTTATCTTTAAATAGTGGTGATTCACAGTCCCGATACAGTTCTTTTGATCTCATTGTCAAATACTCTTGATTCCATATTGTAATGTTCCATTAATATTGACATCATATTTAGCGAGCATTGTTGTAAGTTTGATCCCCATTTAATTTTGAGATCTTTATCAATTTTTGCTACATTAGGAAAAATTTGGACCCCGAGTCCCCAGGGGACAATATTTTCCCTGGTGTACCGTTCAAAGTATTTGATATGCCAGTACACCAGGGACTTTTTCTCTAGTAGTCTTTTCAATCTAATAACCAAGGTGTAAATCTCCAGTTTAGTAGAAGTTTGGCATGGAAAATCAGATTGAATTTTGGACATGAGTTCGTCCCAAGCATTGCCACAAAAGTCCACCATGTCTGTCTAAAGGAAACAACTCTCCTTCCTATACAAAAGGTGTCTTACAAATGCTTGAGAAAAGCAACAAGATGTATATCAAACCCTATCTTTTTAGTCATAAAATCCCTATACAAAAAAAAATTATATTGTGTGTGTGTGTGTGTATATGTATGTGTATGTGTGTGTGTATATATATATATATATATATATATATATATATTTTAAATCAATCAAACATGTATCAGCAGTATACAGCAGGAAGGGTAATATCCTTGTGTAGATTACACACCAACAGGCAGAAATTGGGGGTGTTATCCCCCCTGTGTATTGGATAAAAACAACTTTAGTGGGCGTGGTACTTAAAATTCTGTATATGTAAGAGAGCGCGATTTCACACCCCAGTGGTGAATATTAGAAAAATAGAGAAAGAAACAGATCTACCTAGGGATATGCCAAGGCCCTAGGAAGAGGGGCTTTCAAAAAATACTGAACACTCTCTTGTTCTATATAAAAGTACAAATTAACTTATTAATGTAACATGATTAAAAATCCATTCAAGAAAACATGATTATTCCGTGTGATTCATACAATACATCATCATCAAATAATTCATTTCTCTGACATGATTGGTTAGTTCATCAATGTGGTCCTGTTTTTTTTTCTTTATATAACACTACTGCACACTGGATGAACTACATTTAAATGGATCTTATTGATTATACCTTATCACTATCATGTTTGCACAAGTTAACACAAAAAATAAAAATAGGATTAATTATATATTCGTATCATTTGATTTTGGAATATTTGTTTATATTTTATTGGGTACCTCCAGCTGCATGTTCACCTAATCAACTGCGGTCGATCCTTGGGTCTCTAGCGACTGGGTGCTGCACGTCTCATCTTTGCTCTCCTGACGCAACTCCCGTGCCTGACTTGCTCTTCCATTCCATCTTTTCCGGTGAATGTAATTTAACCATCTACTATTTTGCATTGATATTATGAACTTGATGAAACTATTTCATGTAAGCATGAAATATATATATTTGATGATTCTGACAATAACTTTGATGTATATTTGTCCGATTTATAGGCATATAGTCCCCAATCTAATACAGGTATTCCTCACTTAACGACCGAGTTCCGTTCCTACGACCAGGTCGTCAAACCAATTGGTCGTTAAGTGAGGAACTCCTATACAGTACTGTACTGCATTAGTAGAGTACTGTATAGCGTTGCAGATGTACAGTACCGAACAGTGTACTGTACATGGGGCAATGAAAATACTTACCGGGACCCGCAGTGAAGATCGGAGGACACCACGTCCGCCGGCGACACGGTGCGCTGACGTGCAAGGTCGGAGGCCGATCGGCGGTCCGTCGTAAGTGCGAGTGGTCGCAAAACAGGTAAGTCGCTAACCGAGGAATGGCTGTACATGCGTATTGCTCTCTATCTAGGATACACAACCCTTGTCCCCCTGAAGAAGCCCAACAGGGTGAAACATGTTGGGGTATTTTTTGAAAAAAAAAACAGGGACCACATTGATGAACTAACCAATCATGTCATAGAAATTAATTATTTGATGATGTATTGTATGAATCACACGGAATAATAATGTTTTATTGAATGGATGTTTAATCATGTTACATTAATAAATTTGTACCTTTTTTATATAGAACAAGAGAGCGTTCAGTATTTTTTGAAAGCCCCTCTTCCAAGGGCCTTGGCATATCCCTAGGTAGATCTCTTTTTCTTTCTTTATTTTTCTAATATTCACCACTGGGGTGTGACATTGCGCTCTCTTACATATACAGAATTTTAAGTACACGCCCACTAAAGTTGTTTTTATCCCACATGAAGCCAATTAGTTGTACTGCAGTATAAGGAGAATGCTGATGGAAGAAGAAAGCAGTGTGACAGACACATGAGCTCATCATTCTGCTGCTTCTCCTTTCAGTGTTCAATCAGAAGGTGGAGAGGTGACCTGTAAGTGTTACTAAACTGCAGCAGAAAGTGCTGACTTCCTAATGTGTACCACAATGTACATTTCAGGAAGCTCTGATTCTATTTCACTGAATTTCTAAAACAAATACATGTCACACTTCAGACTTTTTCAAATATAGGCTTAACATTCCTGTTTATGTGTTATCAAATTATTTTTAACATTACAAGGTTTTTGCCATGTATTTAAATAATAATAATATTATTTATTATTTAGGTTTATGCCATGTATATAAATAATAATAATATTATTTATTATTATTTTTTTTTTTTATAAAGGATTTGGAAGGAGAGGCTTGAGTATGCTGAACAAAGGAAGAAGGAAGAGACCAAGGAATTACAGGTAAGATTAACAAGTTTGGAGGCGGGAGACACATAGACACAGGATAAAAGTGCCAAACTGCTTGGTTCACCAACTGGCCCTACATTTACATTATTGTGTGACCACTGGTGATGACCATGTATACAAGTTCCATTGTTTTATGCAAATTCAGTCTTAGTAAGTCAGATAGCAAATGATCTTCTGAACATGCAAACGTCCAAATTCTCATATACTGACCAGTCAGAGCACTTTAATGAAATAAAGAACTTCAACATTAAGAAGGCAGCCATGCAATGAGTGTGTATAATTATATACTGTAGATTATCTTAATAAATGTAAATACCAATATATAGTTTGATTAGTACTATCATGGTTCTCGGTTTAACTACTTTGTATATTGGAAGTAGTTTTTTTTTTTTTTTTTCCTCCCCTGTTATTCTGTTGGATTATGTCGACACTTTGCTGGCTGCTATATTAAGTTCCATAAGAAAACTATCTATAAGCGGAAGAGTTGTCTGTTTTTGATACCCATACTTCCACAAGTTCTTGTATAATCATGTGAGGATTTCAAAACAGCAGCTCAGTTGTGGTTGAAGAGCAAACCATCCCTGATTAAAGCACATTGTGGTGGAGTATACAGTAGAAAGGTCATTTTGGTTTGTCTTTTGGGCGCATTAAAATAGAAATATCATTACATTACACTTTATATTTTTAATAAAAAACTTTTATACAGTGTTAGCACTTTTAATTGTATAAATTGTGAAAACATATACATAGCAATCAACTTACAATGGACAGTTTGTGCCCCTTGTTTTCCTCTGGATAATCAATGTGCTGAAAATGACTGTAGTGTTCATTGTAGTTTTTGCTGTGATCCAAACAGAAAGCTGGGATCACTTTTAAAATGGACAATCGTTTGCCAAACCTGGTGAATCTGAATGAAGATCCTCAGCTGTCAGAAATGTTACTCTACATGATAAAAGAAGGGAAGACCACTGTAGGAAAATATTGTAAGGACTCATCACATGACATCCAACTGTCTGGAGCTCTTATTGCTGAAGATCATTGGTAAGGACATGTAAATAATGAACAGTGATATTCTGTTTGGGAGGAGGTGACTGCAGAATTCTCAAACCTATTACAAAAATAATCAACTGTAGGCAATTAACACATTCTCTTGGTTATCTATGATCCCATATCCTTATTTTTTCTTTTTGGCAGCGTCATTACAAATATTAACAACATAGTTAGAATAATCCCAACCGGAGAGGCAAAGACATATGTTAATGGCAACGAGATCTCATCTTCCACCATTCTGCATCATGTAAGATCAACCTTTTTGTCTTGTTAAAGCACTAATAACGTTTGTAGTCCTAACATATGTAGAGTGTTTTATCTACCGTATACATAATTTTATATGTTGTAACATTCAGGGTGATCGTGTGATTCTGGGAGGAGATCATTACTTCAGATTCAACCATCCTGTGGAGGTCCAGCAATTAAAAGGTCCATCCAGAGTTTCTACATTATGCCCAGATGGTCCCAAGGACTTTGAATTTGCAAAGAATGAACGTTTGACAGCCCAGAGAGTCACGTATGTAAACCCCTTTCCCACAATTTGCTTTCTAAACATGGTGTAATACAACCCTAATTGCCAATTATTTTTGTTTTGTAGATTGGAAGAAGAAATTGAAGAAGCGCGTTTAAGAGCCAAGGAGGAGATGATGCAAGGAATACAGATTGCAAAAGAGATGGCACAGCAGGAGCTCAGCTGCCAGAAGTCAGCCTATGAAGAACAAATCCGAGCACTGGAAGCCGAACTGGTGAGCTTTCAGTGACTAGTCATAATTATACCTTCATTTTTAAGTGTGATTACTTTAGAAAGCTATATTACAAGCATCAGGCAAATGACCGAATTTCCAGATTTTAATGAGATATTCATAATATTTACAATGATTTTCAGAAAGAGGAAACTCGGAGGAAACACCAGCAAGAGATGACTACTCAGAAAGCAACCAGCAAAATCCTGGAGCTGGAAGATGTGAAGCTGCACCTTCAGCAGGAGATTCTGCTTAACAAAAGGAGATTAGAAATGGAAACTCTGGCCACCAAGCAGGTAAATAGTTAGTTATGCTATATTTAAGTTGTTCTGCTCTCTCCAGGACTGCAGATAAAGAAGAGACTTTATCGAACGGCTTGGCCAAGACATACAATTGTAGAAGAGAAACTCCTTGATTGTAAATATCTAGTGGTTATAATCTGACAGCCTGGATAGCCTCATTTTGGGCAGCCTTCTAAAACCTAGGAACATTTTTTTTTTTACTCTTGGAAACGCATGTATTCTACAATAATCGCTGCGTGCCTCATCCAGTTGTGAATGTCTTCCTAGGTAACATAATTAAGTATGGACAATCTTCTGGAATTGTACAAAACGGCTCCCCTGCTCTACATGTAGTGCTGCTTGCCCAAAGCAGGGCTAAATGTAGAAAAAAAACACCTGCCTGGCGCCAGGAACTACATGTCCCGGGCGTCGGAAGATAGAAATTCCACACCCCTGTGCAGTAAATCTCTGCAATACATGCACATTTCTCCATGTTTTATTCCATTAAAGACCCTTAAAGTATAGCAAAATACCTGTCTGTCTGCCATAAATGCATTCTGCTCCTAAGCCCAGTTGTGGGCTGACAACACACAACTTTTTTGTGGACTGAGTGGTGTCAGCCTACCCAGTGTCTTTTGCTAAGCTTTGCAACCACTCTCAGTCAGATCTCTAAAGCCTAATCATTATGTGCATAGTGTGCACAGGACAGCTCTGAATTTCTGACAAGATCTACAGTTTTTGGGTTTTTTTTGTACTCATTAAGCAGAACTGACAAAATGCTTCATATGTTTATTTACCAGACCAAAAGAGAACAAATATGAGAAGTTCATTTTTCTGTTTCACATACACTAAGCAGATTTCTGAGATAATTTATGAATTAATTTCTACATTGTAAAACGTACAATATTTAAGTTTTAAGGATTTTTAGAAGTTTTCTGTTGTATTTTTGGAAAGGCATTAGAAGATCACACGGTCCGCCATGCCAAGATATTGCAAGCTCTGGAGGATGAAAAGCAGAAAATTGCAAGGGAAGTGCAGATGCTACAAAAAGAGAAGGGTAACCGAGAGAGGAGTATGGCAGGTAATGGGAGGCATATGTTAACAAATCTGTCAGCGTTGAAAAGTCTTTTGACAGTCACTTTTTTTGTTTGGCAAACAAACGGTTTGAAAAGTAAAGTATATGAAATATACTGGTATAAGGGCATTTGATTTAGCCTAGACATTCAATACAATTTCGGAAACATTCTACTCAATGGAGATCTATGATTGAGTGTAAAATTGATCAAATACAAGAATGAGTGTGATATTGAAACTCTATAGTGTAGTCACTATTGCCTTTTATTGTTATTGTGTGATTATTTCTGATGCCACTGTTTCCAATCTAGAATTTGCATGCATTTAATATATATTCATTATCACACGTCTGTTCTAACTATGGGGATGAGTGTATTTCACTCATCCCATAGTTCTCCTTTCAGTATTCCTTCTTGATTGTGAATAGGGTATATGTTTAATTTGAACCAGCAGTATACTAATTGTATTTTTTTTGTTTTTATTCAGTTACGCCTACTTGGAATTCCTTGAAACTGTCTGTTATGATTCAGGAGGCTAACACAATTAGTGCCAAACTCCGGAAACATACTGTATTCAGTAGGTAAGTGTTACATAAGCAAAATGCCTGTCCCCAGAAAAAATTGTTTCCAAGAACCACACCGGACTCCTTACGGTCTGCAACCTTTCAATGGTGGTGGCGCTCATGGTAATCACACAGATGGGGCCGTGTAAAAACTCAGAATAGTTTCATCGGGTCACTGGCGCACACACAGATGAATTCAATATCTCTTTGATATATTTATTAAAGAATGTCACAGCATGCCATTAGACTGTCCCCAGAAAAAGTCTGCCCATTAAGATCAATGAGCTAGAATCTGCTCACAAAAACGCGCAAGTTGATTTATGCGTATAAACCATGTGTAACCATGCACAAAAATCACCCAAAAACGTGCGTAGAAAGCCTCAAAAACACTGCCGCCTAGGTGTGAAGCCAGCCTTAAGGTCCATGTGGCTTAAGAGATAAAATTGAAAGCTGCAGTTGCCAGGGAGCTTCTGGGGGGGGAGTATTTTAGAAGTTTTTTAGGGCGTACTCTGTAACTGGTTAAACTAGTGGTCTGAAAGGGAGTCTGCCATCAAAAGAAATCTGTAAACGCATGAAAGCTGAAGGCTACTAATAACACTGGTGCAGTCCCCTATCTTGTAGTGATGCCAAATAGCTGTTCAGTTGTTATTGCGATTAGTGTCTTGCCTAGGAGTCACTTGCCATGGCGCAAAGTAACATGTAATTCAGCTCTATCGGCCTCAGTATGATGCTGTAGACTGTGCCGCACCATGCTGTGCGGAAAAAAAATCATGTGCTTTTTGCACACGCCTATGGAATGCAGTGGTGTAAAAATGTGCCAATTGTCAACAAGCCAAATTGCCATACCTTTGTGTTGGGACAGCCCATGGCAGCTGGTGTAAAGCGGCATCTTAAACACCTTATGGTGCTTGTTCTTAGTTGGGGCTTATATTGTTATACGTTTACAGAGTTGCACAATTTCACTTTAGGTCCTATTTGACCAAATTCATTTCTTTAATATTACACTATATATGTTTTTTTTATGTTTTTCTAGACATGAAGTGACTGATAAAGAAAACATACCTAGTAATCCAGTACAAATCCAAGTCAGAAACCTTAAGCTGGGAATTGTAACATTCTGGGATCTGGAGAAGTTTGAATACAAGTTGGCTGCCATGAAGGAGGTATGAGCTGATTGATAAATGGAATGTCTTGAATGAGTGATTTTTGTTTTGTTATATTGCACCATTAAATGTAACCTATTGTATACCACGTAGGGGATGCTGTGTAGTACCACATCCACAAACATCATTAATAACCAAATCTTGAAAAAGCTCATACCTTTCCGTTACCAGCCCCCACAAAATGTCTTATTATATAAAAAGTAGAGGTGCACCGAAATTTTAAAAAATGTCCGAAAATGTTTTTTATTCCGAACCTTTTTACAAAAATTTAAAATATTTATTTTTATTATTTTTTACTTTTAGGGGCCTTGGGGAAATATTAGGGGTCTAAACCCTAGACAAAGAGTCCTCCAATCTCTTTTCCTGCAGCCTCTGTTATAAATGAACAGGAATCCTCTATACTGAGTGTTCCTGTTCATTCATAACATGAGGGCAGAGTATGTTTACTATATCCACAATCCTTAATGAACAGGAAGTGATGTAGATCACTTTTCCATTCATTTATAATTGAGGATATAGTAAACCTACTCTGCCCTCAATTATTTACAAACACTCAGCGATCACTGATCGCTGAGTGTTTGTACCCGCTCTCCATCCCGACACGCTGTCACAGGAGGCTGGGCAGCAGGCCTCAGCCTCCTGTGACAGCATTAAGAGCTGTCTCCGCCCACACCATTCTCCCGATCTGTGACAGGAGGCTGAGCAGTGCGGGGAGGAGAGACGCCGGTTGCTCGCAGAGCTCTCTTCCTGCAGCGCTCGGCCGTCTGTGACAGTTTCTCTCCTCCCCGCTGGAACACAGAGCAGCGCCCAGCGGGGAGGAGAGAAGTCACGGATGCAACACTATATCAGGCCAAAAAATTGCACTTTTGGCAGATATGTTTCGGTGTCTGATATATATCGGTGCCTCCCTAATAAAAAGAATTGATCTTTATTATTACAAATCAATATGATTCCATAAAATCAATACTTAATAAAAAAAAACATACAAGACATGGTCATATGTGTTTAGTAATCATCCTGTGCACATCAAGATGTACCATCCTTATCCCATATGAGTATTATTGTACACATCCAATTGTTAGATTATAACATATATTCTCAGAGGGGATATGCTCTATGCAATTCGTGGAAAATACTGCTTCCTTTGGAGGGTTTGCAATGATTATATGTGGAGAGTGCACACCAATTCATTCAAATCCATCTGTTAAAAACATCCCCGTATGGGCGATCATATGACTAGTATAGGATTCCGCCAGGGGCTCATTTTTGGTACATAAGGCAATCATTCTTTTGTAAGATCCAGTTGATCACATATGTAATGTCGTTTACGTGTTTACTGGTCCCAGAAGCCGAAACAAATGTTAATGACAACTGAATGTAACTATTTGAATTCCAATATTTGCAGAATCCTGACAGTTCAAAGGAAGATGATCTATTTTATGATCCAGCAGATGAGTGGGAGCCAGATCTGTCAAAATCATCGTTGTCTAATTTGTCGAGACGCAGGTAAAGTTTTTTTTAATGCAAATTAAGTTAGTTTAAATAATGCACAGATCATAGGAGGAGGATCTAAAACCTTTTGTGTCCATATAAAATAAACATCTTTGTAGTGAATTGTTACACTTAATCCAGTATATTAATGGTACATGCCTTAGCACTATTCTTATTTTGGGGGGGATCATTCATGTTTTACATATTGAACTCCTGAAGGGGTTGGTTTTAATAGGAGTGGATGCAGTTTGCTGTGATAGGCATGGAGAATGAACTGTCCTGTGGGGGGGGTTTAAGGTGTATGAACAATTACCTTCTCTGATTCCCTTGTTTTTGTCTGTTAAATATACAATTTTTAAGAGCATTTTCTCATATAGCTAATAACTTCTTCTTTGGGAATAAACTCCTTTCAGAGGTGTATTTATAAAGAATTTTATTGTGAAACTGCATGTCCATTAGTTCTGTACAAATGGGGAAACCCCAGCTCCATCTAGTGGCCATAATGTGGCATTTTCCTAATTTAGAGAAGAAACAAGATGTCACCAGCACACTGCAGAAATGTGTCCAAAAGCACGTCTTTTTAAAAAAAATAAATTGATGCATATTGTCACAGATAAACCGCAACATTTCGGGGCCATGCAAGGTCCTCTTCATAAGGCTCAGTATGACATCTGTGACAGTATGTGTAGATTAAAAAAAAAAGTGCTTTAGGGCACATTCCTGGGTGTGCTGGTGACATCTTGTTTCTTCTCTGATCCATGTGGCACCGACCGCAGTCACTTCAGCACCTATCTTCCTAGGGGCTGTCTGGTAAGTAGTGTGGCAGGATACCCTCCTGACCCATTTTCCTAATTCATATATATATAAAGTCCAAACAAGGACTTGGTCTATCTACTGCTGAACTTAATGTACATATGATTGTGGTATTTTAAATTCTTTCTTCAAGGAGCAAAAGTCTCATGAAGAACAAAAGAATTTCAGGATGTCTGTATGAGATCCGAGTTCACCCTATTCAAAGTTTACAGTCTGGACATTCCTCAGGTAATCTGTACAGTCTTTACTGCATGGTGTAGGTTGTGCAAAATATACTGTATCATTGCTTCCCTATGTTGTCACTCTGCAGAAAAATTAAGTTCTAAGTCTCCTATATGTTTAAAGGAGAACTATGAGGTGTGTGCTTTTCACTCACCTCATAGTTCTAGCCGACCTGTGACAATGAGACTGTCACAGGTCGGCTCAGTAGATCGGGAGGTGAGCGAACACATGCCGGCGTTCGCTCGCCTCTCGATCCTGTCACGGCTCTCTGCCGTGACAGGGGAGGGGCTGGATTCCCCCCTCCCCGCTCCAATCCGCCAGTGCTGACTGACAGAGCCAGCTGTCAGTCACGCAGCTGGGCGGATCCCGACACAATTGTCAGGATCCGCTTCAGCTGCGGCGTCTCAGTATACCGCGAGCTACAGTTCGCAGTATACTGAGCCTAGGGTGACGGGAGGACGCTAGTTTGTGTCCTCCCGTTACCCTAAGGAGAACCATGGGGAAAAGCCTTAACCCAATAGTTCTCCTTTTAATAATATTATGATACAATGTAATATAAGCATATTACTGCTACATTCACGTCTTAGTGGTTTCCACCAATATAAAATAGTTGGGTAACGCACGAATACTAAAACAAACTAGAACTGTCACACAAATCAATCAGGCAAATTTATATCACTGCATTTAAATCCCAAATCCGGCCTATATTCTCTAAAGACAAAAGCCTAAATCTTGCATATTACTTTCAGATCTGTGCAGTAACTCAGAATTAAACACATCTGCATTTTGCGAGAGTTCTCTATAATAGGGTCCCCAACCCTCGGGCCATGTACCGGTCTGTGGCCTGTTAGAAACTTGGCCGCAGCCGCCAGCAGTCACCTCGGCCTGGGCCAGATGAACATAGGGGCGTGTGGAACTCCCGCTCCAGGTTCGCCCCTGCAAATAGCCCCAGCCATGCCCAATGGCAATCCGGGCCAGCTACTATTAGACAGGGCTTCCCATTTAATAAGGCATCTCAGGGCCCTATTGGGGAGCGAGCGGCTGCCTGATTGGAGAGCCACATCTGCTGCACCCGCAGCCACCACTGAGACTCTCCAGACCCCAGGTGAGAGTCTGCACTGGCCACCTGAGAGCTCTACTGGCCACCTGAGAGCAGGAAAACAAGCTTAGGCCTCCCACTGATTCTGCATTATGGTGATATGTATAATTTCATTATATATTACAATCTAATAATAATAGAAATAAAGTGCACAATACATTGTGCTTTAATCATCCCGAATAACCCTAATCATCCATAACTCATCAACCCCCTCCTTGGAAAAATGTTCTACCAGTCCCTAGTGGCAAAAGGGTTGGGGACTGTTGGTCTCTCCTTGGGTAGGGTGACTGTCTTGCATACCCCCTCTTTCATCCAACCTCCAGATTTTGGTTAAAGCAAAGCTTTCAAGGTAGTACACCATGTCATTTACATGCTCATTTTGCTTCTTGCTTTTTGTCACCATTACAGCTAGATTAAAAGTAGATTCAAATTGTATATCTCCCAGGAGGAAGGAAAACTTCACCTGACTTTGATTTTGAGGCCTCATGCACACAATCTGGGGATTTCTGACCCAAGAATCTGCGGATTCTTGCAGAAATTCCAGGTGCGTCCACACAGATGTTAATGACAGACTGACGGGCCGCAATCTGTCCGTGGCTGTCCACAAGTAATTGTACAAGTACCTGCGGAACGGGAGAGATGTTAGTCCCTGGATGCAAGTTCTCTTCTGAAAACAGAAGGGTTGTAAGAGTTTAGCAGGCTAAGCAAAATAAAAGCAGATTAAACTTTAGCTTTAAATGTGCGGTAAATTGCAGAACGTGTATATGCACTTAGGGTTGAAGGTTATCTCTCTGGAATTTCATAACTCCTATGTCTCTAATATACTACTGAGCATTCATTGCATCTCCTGCTTTTTTATTTTCTGAACAGGTTTGATGACCAAGTCTAGTAGTTTCCTGAGCAAGTCCAGCAGTGTATGCTCTAATGGTAATGATTCGAATCTACCTGGAATCTGTAAGGATCTAATAGGATGTGCATTGGATTACCTGGGTCAAAGTCATGCAGATGAGAGCAGCATTGCTGACAGTCTGGTGTCCTGTATAGAAACGGTTTGTAAGGGAGTTCACGCAGTCTCCCAGGCATATGAGCAACAGGACGAGGACGGCACAGAGGGCAGTGAGTATTTATATAAAATTATATGTTATGGTTGTTCTTAAAGGGAAACTATAGGCTTGTCCGGGTTTGTTAGATACAGTATACATGGAAAGAGAGCAGCCTTAGTTAACTGCCGCCGATATAACTACTACTGGGGCAGTGAAACCGTAATTGCAAGTTCATGGTAGCGGTACCTAGTGTTTTAGGTTTTTTACCAGCTGCCATCCAGTAATCTGATTCACCAATCTGCTTCAGGAATTGAATCCAGAAGTGCTCATTACTGAATAGTTTTAGTGGCATTGTTTTAGTTTAATGTGAAACTAACAAAATAGTATATTTTAGATCTGTTACCCATTTAAACTTTACTTCTGGTACTTTTGCTGCTATACAAGCTCGATGTCTGCCAATTCAAGACCTAAAATTTGTTTTTTTAAATCTTGTTCTTGTATGTAGTTCATCATTAGTTACATGCATGGTGCGGGTGCTGTATTTGCTTATATGATAGCACTGAACAATGCTGGATCTTGCTGATGCTCTTATCTTACTGCAAGGGTCTGTCTGGTTGAACATAATATACTCTTTGGGGTCTCTTCTGACATGAAGCACCCACAGTGTGCATGGTAGCCATTGGCCATGTGATCTTTTTATCACATTAGTTTTTTTTTTTATAAGAAGATAAGGTATGTTGGCAATGTTGACATGTGCTAGATATTACTAGTCCTTTAGAATGGTTGTACTTATTACTTGCAATTTTGACTGACCTTAAAGCTGACTATCAGGCTGATATAAAAGAAGTTAATGCAGCTAGGTGTTAATTAATACATTATTAAATGTATTTTTTAAATACAATCAGCGTAATCACTTGCATTTGACTTGGTGTCAGTCTCTTCCAATTCCTTTGTACAGCAGAGCTCAGAAACAGCACAAGTAGCTAAGCAGTTGTGCGGTAGTGCTCATGTTTTCCTCATATCCTCCTGATAGGAGGGCACAGTATGACAGAGAGATGAGCTCATCCATTTTCTGCTTTTAATCTATGGTCCAATAAAAGGATTAGGCTGGGACAATGCCCTATTTTATATTACTTTAACTGCAGCAGAAAAACAAATTGGGTCTCCTTCCCAGCTAGACAGGCCTGTGCTGTGTAAATCTCAGGACTGAATGAACAGAAATACTACTCTTTTGGCAGGTAAAACAGCTCCCATATTTGTAATGTATCTGTAGATTTAACGGTGTGCCTGGATTTTTTTGACCCTTTCCAAGAACCTTTGTTGATGCTCTTTAAAGTGACACTAAACTCAGTTAAACACTAAAAATGCATGCAAGTACCTTAACTATTAACAATGTATCTTTGTGTATCACTCAGCTTTAGATCCTCAAAGCATCTCTGAATTGGTGCTGACACTGTCCTTCCTTCTGGAGGGTGGCTACTTTTGCTCTCCATGGTCCCTGTGTGTGTGTGTGTGTGTGTGTGTGTGTGGTAAAGTAGCCACCGCTCCAAGCTCACTCACGTGATTTATTCCACTTTTCAATACAAATTATAAAGCTAAATGTGAGATTGTAGTCTATCACAGGAGCGAGCTTGGAGCGGTGGCTACTTTACGACACACACAGGCAACATGGAGAACAAAAGTAGCCACACTCCAGGAGGAAGGACAGTGTTGGGACCAATTCCGAGATGATTTGATTTGATCTATAGTGATACACAAATAAGATACATGAAGATACCTATTTTTTATGACAAATGTTTGTGATTGTGCTTGTAAGAAGGATGCATACCATCACTTTTACATCTGCTAAACATGCTTACTCTCTTCCTCATACCAAGTACCTCTTATTTGCCTTTCCAGTGTTTGTGGTTAACCGGGAAGCACAAATTCAAAGCATCCAGCTGACCTCTGCTTTTCAACAGTCAGTTGTGTTAACAAAGCATTGGCTAGACTCTTTCAGTGAAAGCCAAGAAACTAGCAAACCTGCTGATAGCTTGTTGTTGAACATCAGGAAGCTTGGAGGATACCTGCAGCTGCTCTTACAGGTAGAAATGTGTCAGCCATACTGTAGTTGAATATGTCATTTCTAAAGCTCACCACACACGCATTACAATCTGATTGTACAATCTCCTCTATCTCTACCAACAAGAATGCAGTGTGAGGTCTGGCCTGATTGCACAGTGTATAGTGACCCTAACAGTCATGAGTTTCTTTAACCGTTTCAGGACTACAATACATATATAAATCAATCAGTCCTAAAGTGATCAAACCAAGGTCACAGCTGCTGCAGCAGCTGTAATTTTGGTTTGCACATTTGTTTTTTTATGATTTTATATATACATATCTAGATATCTATAGATATATCTCGATATCTATCTATCTATCTATCTATCTATCTATCTATCTATCTATCTATCTATCTAGATAAATATCTATAGATGGATTTTATTGAAGCACCCACAGTGTCCATGGTGTGAATGGATATTATTCAGCGGTTGGTTTTCACATATAAGTGATCACTTTTATGCTGCCAAGTGGTGTAACTTTAGTGCAGTTTTTAAGAAATGATGCATGGAGTTTTGCATTAAATCTAGCAAGTGCATGCATAGAGGTGTATTGCATTTACAGTGTATGTGAAGCCTTAACATGCACAATAATGCTACACAGAAAGGTTTTTAATGCTGTCTAGGGCAATTAAATAAATTTGGCAAAGTTTATTTAAAAAAAGTTTGTGAAGCGCTCACGTGACTGCTTTTCATTATTGTATCCACGCTTACGAGGAGGGGTGGAGCCTTCTGATCAGCTTCTGAGTAAAGCAATACACAGCGAGTCTCTGTACAGGAGATTCTGTCAATTAGAACAGCCGGGGCTGGTGTGGGAGGATGCCTGTCTGTGATGTCACAGGGGGACTAGGGGGTTACAGGCTTATCAAGCTTTTGCACAGCAAATGCGGTCTGTCAATGATATCACAGAGTCTGAACCTGTGGACAATGTTGACATGTATGAGGGTGAAATTGTAGAGGACAAAGGAAACTGTCAGGATCACCAGGTATTTTCAGTTTAATGAAAATAAAATCTAAAACTATGGTTCATCTTTATTAAAAAGGTAGGTTTACAAACACTTTCATTTTACTGTTTGCTGTCTACTTTTAATCCTCACTAGGGTTGCTGCTCAGATATATCTGCCATGGTTACAGAAGCAAAGGCTAAAGCCAGTCATATAGTAGAACAAATACTGCAAGACATTGGACACCTAGCTGCGCTAACTGATGTTCAATTGCATCTTTCTAAAGATGAATGTACAGACAACCCTATTCTACAGGTAGGCATTCTGCTTATGTGAAATATCTACTGCAACCTTTTCTACGTTTACAAATCCCATCGTGCCTATGCCTGTGGCAGAATCTCTCAATGCCTCATGGGACTTGTAGTTTTACAGCAGCTGGAATGCAGAGGTTGCCTGCCCCTGTCTTAATAAATGTCTTCAAATCCAGCAAACCCTTTGGATATGGTGGAGAATGGTTAGAACTCTTTCAAGTTGTATAGCAAGTGCCTCATTTAGTACACGCAAAAGAAGTCCTTGGGATCGGTGTGAGAAATCACATTGAAAATCCTTTTATACTGAAGTACAATAGCAAAGGATCAGGCAGAATCTTCAGCTAGGAACAAGCAACAGACACTTCAAAGAACAGAGGCTCGCAGGCACCTTTCAATAAAAGTCAACAGGACATGTGACCTGCTCCAGCTCAGCCTGGCCCCTAAACCATACTGATGAGGAGGATTACTTGGTAAGCCAGGAGTAGACACGGCTTACTGAGTAGAAGAATGAGCATTGTGGTAGCAGTGCTGCATAGGCTCTGTATGCCTGCAGATTGTTGACATCAATGTCAAGGAAGAATAATTTACCAACAGGGTCAACAGATAATTTATGTATAAGGGAAGTTTTGATTACACAAAGGACACGCAAACATTTAAAAACAAATATTAGGAAGGTTTTACTCTTGATATTAGAAGTTCTGATACTGTTTCTAAGGACCCTTTTTTGCATGTATTGAAGCGCCAAAGAGCTTACCCCAACGTTACACCCAATGACCTTAGAAGTCAATTGGTTCCACAGGCAGGCCACATACCTCTTTGAGATACCTTCATTTGTTAGACAGTCTACTGTTTAGATTCAAATTGAGCTACCAGTGTGGCATTTCAATGTTTTTTTTTTTTTGCTGTCTGGATCCCAGTTAAAGAGAATTTCCCTGCTATGTTAAAGACGTATGTTCCTCAGTAAACCCATGGGGAAACAAAGTCTGCTTTCATGGCCGTCAGTCTTCTATGAGATTGATTACAAACCTTGGAAATTCCACTTATAAGATAATAGTACTTTACAGTGCACTGATACTCCAACATTATTAATGTACTAGATTCTAGCACTCACTGAATGTTTAGTTTTGGCTGAACACAGACTGAGCCCTTTTTGGATCTTTTTTTTGTCAATTTCTTCAACCAGTTTTGTATTGCTTATTCATTTTATTAATATGTACGGAAGCTTAGAGTAGCAGAAAGTTTCTACTTTGTAAAGTTTTGCCTCTAAACAATAATGCTTTTGACAGTTAATAGTTTCCTTTTTGTATGCATCTGTAACACATTATGTTCTTTTAGAAATCCTTCATTGATATGCTTGACCTTGGGTTCTGTGTTGGATTAAAAAACCTAATTGAAAGTGGAATAAAAACTGCTGATCTGATGCAAACTGAAATCCAGAGGTGCTCTGTTCATGATAAGGTAAATCATATTAATTTTTGAACAAAAAAAACTAGTGAATATTTTGGAAGCATTTTAGACAATACAACTACATGAATACACTCAAACTTTTTGTTTTTTTATAAAAAGCAAAGTTCATTCAGATTTCAACTATGAATATAACTCTAGAAATAAATATACTTCTGCTGCTTGCAATATGGTAGATGATTTATGACATGTCAGTGAGTATAATGCTGGCCTCGAATAGGAATGGCTGCACAGGGTAACTTCATGTTTTAGGGCTATAGCGCAAGGAGGAAGAGGTGTGCTGGACACCTCAGGGAAAGAAAAAGTTGTCTGATCTGTCATTCTTCCCTTTTAGCCCTCGTTCACACCTGAACGTTTTGTAGCGCGTTCTACGCTCGACGAACGCTCTACAAAACGCTCAAAAATATAAATCCCATTGCATTCAATGGTCTCGTTCCCACCTTGGCGTATTTCCGCCCGTCCCTACCGCGCTACAAAACGGCCCATGCCTGAAAAGGTACAGGTACTACTTTGGGCCGTTTTGTTGCGCGTTTCCATTGGGATACAGCCAAGTAGCCTTCGGAAACGCGCGACTTTTTTACCGCCAATCGCTGTAAAAAAACGCGCGACGGTCGCGCATATGCAATACACCTAGGTGTGAACGAGACCTTAATGTGTCACAGGCAATGTTGCTGGATCTGTTTAGAAAGGCTGCAATGGCCGGCTGTCATGTATTATCTGTGATATCTATGGCATCATTACACATACAACAATAATTATACTAACCGATTGTCTTGTGCTGTCTCTAGGTACTTGAGGAGATGAAGAACACATCATTCAAGTTAGCTGGCTTTTTCAGTAACTCTTTGGCAGACTGTAAAAAGGTATAAAGAGTTCACAATTGTTCTTACATTTTGGTACTAACATTTTCTCTTCAAACCATCTTAACACATTATTAATTCATTTGGTTAGGGTACACTGATGTGATAGGTATGGCAAATTGGAGAGGGGTATGGGCAAACGTTCAGCCAATACACTGAGTTCAGTGAAGCATGACCGAATCATTGTCAGTCACACTATCACAGCTCTGATTACTGAGTAATGATCTGTAAATAAGGGGTACGTACAGGTTCGTACTGATGTAGTTAAAGGGGAGCTGCACCCTTTATGTTGGCAAATTAAGTTTCTGGTGTAAAACCCTTTGGGTGGCTTATTGGTCACTGTGTGTACATTTTATTTATATCAACTACTTACTAGTGATCTAGAAATCACACACTTTTCGATGATACGTTGTATCATATACAAACAAAAACAACTCCACAGTAGCGCTTACTCTGTGGAATACTGGTTTCTCTATCCGGTATTATCAATATTGAAATTAGTCTTCGTGGAATAAAATATATTTTGTTATCTGTACACAAACCTCCCAGACACATTATCTAAGAAAATGTTGCAACAGCCCACTTCAGTCCCAATTCAATGCATCATCCACAGTGTGATCTCAAAGTTATAAATTGAATTACATAAATCCAACAGCTCTAAAGAAGTTATTTTAATTACATTGCTCACCCCACCACAATGAACTTTCAAGGATATAGTGCTTGTTGCTTCCCTAGGAACCGATTACTGCTTTAGCACAGCATTCTGCCTGGTGTTCCCCTCCCCTCCACCTAGTATAAGTACTTTCGGGGTTCTCGGGCGGGTGTTGACTCATGGGTGGTTTTCAAAATCCCATTGTCTGTCTTACAGGCCCTAGGGCACAGAGTAAGCTAACCTGTGAGAGCTGCAAAAGATTTTACTTGTAAAGTGGTGTAGTGGTTAGCAGTTTTTCCTTGCAGCACTGAGGGTCCCCAGTTCAAATTCCAGCCAGGTCACTATCTGGTGTTTTGCTGGAAGGTTAATTGGCTCTGTCTAAATTGGCCCTCATACTGTATGGATGCATGTGTGATGGGGACCTTAGATTGTAACATCCTTGATGGCAGAGACTAATGTGATGTGCTACTATGTAAAGTGTTGTTGGCACTATGGAAATACCTGTAAATAAATTTTAAAAAAAGCCCTTTTGGGGATCTACAATAAAAAGTGGAGGAGGGAATTGAATCTCTGAAGTGGAATCAAGTTGTTGTACAATGGAATTTGAAAAATGCCTGTTGGATCTTTTTAATTTGGCTCAGAACTTTGAGATCGCACTGTGGATGGAGCATTTCATTGGTAATAAATTGGGCTTTTTTTCGATAATCCCTGTCTGAGAGATCTGTATACAAATAAAGTGTATTTTATTCCAAGAACACCAGTTTGATTATTGATGATAATAGTTTACAATACCGAATAGAGAAACCCAGTATTCTGTAGAGTGAGTGCCACTATGGAGTTGTATTTGCTACTTTTTTTATATGCTGTGAAATCAAGTATAACAATGTGGCATTCCTCTAAGGTTGTGCTATAGGAGACGTACCTTTTGGGTTTTATATATGTTGTGTCATGTTCAGTCACCCTCATTTGATGTACTGCATGATATCATTTACATAGAAGAAATTACTACAGCTTTGTCTTTGCAACACAATCAGATCATTTATGATTTAAAGGATAATTAAAGCCTCCAGTGTTTTTGCATATATCTACTGCTGGCAAGCAGAAAATATATGCAAAAAGTGTAAAAAAAAAAAAAACACTTTAAAAGCGGTTTCAACTTACCTGTGTCTTTTCCGCGCACTCCCGTCCGAAAATGTTAAAATTCTCGGGGGGGCGCAAAGCATCTTGGGGCGGGTGCATGCGCAGTTCACCTTTTTCGGCAGGGACGCGAGGAGAGACGCAAGGTAAGTCTATGGACGGGTGCACCCGCATGCAGACACCGTGGGACAGGAAGTGCCAGCAAGCTCAGAGGAGTCAGCGCTGGATCGGAGACCCGCCGCAGCGCTGGAGGGACAGATGAAAACGACAGGAAAGAAGAAGATGATCTGATTAAGAAACATAATTTAAAGGAGAACTATGAGGTCAGTGTTTTTCCCCTTAGTTCTCCTTAGGGTAACGGGAGGACACAAACTAGCGTCCTCCCGTTACCCTAAGCTCAGTATACCGCGAGCTACAGCTCGTGGTATACTGAGACGCCGCAGCGGATCAGGACTTGGATAACGTGATCCGCCTAGCTGCGTGAGTGACAGCTGGCTCTGCCTATCCAGAGGCAGAGCCAGCTGTACCCGCCCCCTCCCCCGTCCGTTCCGCCAGTCAGCAGAGAGCCGTGACAGGATCGAGAGGCGAGCGAACCCGGTATGTGTTCACTCACCTCCCGATCTACTGAGCCGACCTGTGACAGTCTCATTGTCACAGGTCGGCTAGAACTATGAGGTGAGTGAAAAGCACTCCCCTCATAGTTCTCCTTTTAAGATATGTGCTGACATTAACTTAGGGGGGAGGGAAAAAAAATAATTGAATTTTAATGTCACTTTAAGGAGTTTTTGAGTTGCACACAAAACAGACCCCAGAATCACAATACTATTAATAATAAATAACACGAAGGTATCCTCCTTACCATGCTTCATTGTAAGTAACAGTATGACCCTTGTCTTCTGAGTTTAGACCAGCTACATTATATTGCATGCACAAACTGTAATACATAAACTACCAGCAACTCCCAGATTCACCTTGAGCTTGGGTATTCACGGTTATAATTTCATATGAGAAGTCTCATCAGTACAGTTGATGCCATCAGAGACTTGACGAATATTGTTCTAAATTTCTTTTGGTTTCAATATTCAATTTTGAAAGGAATGGAATTGGCCAAATGAAAACCACATTCACTGTAGAATTTTGTTTTGCCCTCCTTCGATTTTTGTCACTACGGTCAAAAACGATTGTCGACCTGACCCCATTAACTATTAGAAAATCAAACTTTTGAAAACAACCATTTTTGAGCAAAACTCTACCTGTGTATACCCAGCTTTGTTTCCGGTGAAATCTGACACACATTCTTGGCCTGGCGTAAGAAGAGGGGAAGACAGGATATAGCTTTCTAGATAGAGGTCTGTGTGTCAGAGGTCTGGCATTACTGGAGTAAAGTAAAAGGCTCGCCTAAAATCTTGGGATAGAATATGTTTCTTGTGGTCTAATTGACTGTTTTCATCTTCATTCTAGCTAAACATGGACCTGGTACTTAATGATTCAGATTTCAATGTCCGAACCTCCCTAAGTTCAGCTCTGCGTAATTTGAAATCGTGTATGGATTTGCTGCGGCATACTGTCACTTCTCTACTAAAAGGTAAAGTATCTTTAAGAATTTGTATGTAAACACACCGGGGGTGGGGGGGGTGGTAATGTCTCAAAACTGGAAGACAGAATCTGGAGCATTTGGCTATGCCAACTAATCAGCTTCTATTTCATTTTCAAATCTTAACTAACCAAACTGGAGAGAAAAGCTGATTAGTTACCATGGGCAACTGCTCCAGGTTTTGATGTGTTTTTTTTCTGGATTGTGCCATAGCTGTCAGCAATAGCTCACTCCGTTGTTTTGTGTACAGAAAACCCACAGACAGGTACAGCTACCTCCATAATTCCAGCTTCCATCCAAATCACACTAGGTGTCATATCTACAGCCAGGCAATCTGGTACCACCGCATTTGCTCTGAATTGTTTGTTCAGTTAAGCTTTGAATATGAAATAAAGAAGCTGATTGGCTGTCATGGACAGTATTCTGTCTGCTCCAGTTTTGATAAATTCCCCCCACAATATATAGTATTTTCTGGAGATGCTGAAAGAGACAAGATATATACTCACTGAATGACGGATTTTCTGTTAGATTTGTTAATGCGTCATGTAACACCCTGCTGACCTATTCCTTAAAATAAAGAAAGGCTTATTCTTTAAGACATAGGAGGTGTTTTAATTCTGCTTGTAGGACTGCAGCTAATTACTTTCATCGTTTTAGTTGGCCGATTTTTTTTTTTTTCTTTCTCTCGATTAATCTGATAAAAAAATGTAATATCCTTAATTTAAAAGAAAACAAAACACACAAATACAGTGTTACAAACCTAAAGTTTACTTCAGAATAAAACTGCATGCACAATATTTTGCAATCGCACTGCACTGGAACGCTTGGCATTGCGGTACCAGTGAAGGTGATCATAGTGTGGGTGAGAGGCGTGTTCGGGGTGCCATTGAATTGAACGGCACTGCAACGCACCTCCCGCAGCAGAATTTGTCAGGCCGCAACCGAAAATGACTTTTTCCCCACCTTTTCATAATTAAAAAATAAAATAAAATTGTATTGTTCGCACATGGCGCTAGAATAGCGGACAGCTGCCAGTGGCAAGATTCCGCAAACATCAGCTGAATGTAAAAAGAGCAGGTCGTGGGCTGATGCAATAGCCAACCTGCTATTGGCCATTTCAAATTGCAATAGCAGGCTGGCTATTGCATCCGCCCACTACTTGCTGTGCCCTCTTCCCAGCATGGAGGAGAGAGCTAGGGGATCCAACCAACTAATCGATATTCAGAATAGTTGTCAACTATTCTCATCGCTTTAAATTATTAGTTTGGTTGCAGAAATATCACTAAAGCTGGCCATACATGGCTCAAATTTTGTCTGATTTATGGTAATCAACCAAAATTTGCCCCTCCTAACTTGACAAAGTTTGACTGAATAATCTAAAGAGTTGGGTGAAAAATTGTTGGTCAAACAATCAGCTGAAGTCACTGTTCAGGTATTGAAGTAGCTCCCGCAGATGCTTGAATACAGTAGCTGCTAGAGGGAATTCCTCCATCCACGCTGGTTGGCATGCATGGGGAGATTGAGTGGTTTTCTCTCATTTAGCCTACGGGCGGAACAAAGCAAGCTAAATGTGTGTGGCCAGCTTTACATGTGGAATTCATATGATTTATTGTTGCATTAATTGGACATTTAACTGTTGAATGCTTTATGCTCTGATTCATTATTCTATCTCATAAAGTCCTAATTTGTCACCACCTCAGGTGGTTTCTTTTCATGATTTCCGCAAAACACTTCTCCCAGATCCTCAGCTTGGAGTATTTTTTAAAGGAGAACTATGAGGTGAGTGATTTACACTCATCCTCGTAGTTAGAGCCGACCTGTGACAATGAAACTATTACACGCCAGCTCTATAAATTGGGAAGTGAGCGAACACATACCGTCGCTCGCTCACTTCCCGGTCATCTCCCTGCAGAGAGCCGTGACTGGAGGAACAGACAGGGGAGGGGGTGGGCGCAGCTTGCTCTGCCTCTAAATAGGCAGAACCAGCTGTCCATCAGCCAGCTCGGGATCTCAGCAGTATTGTCGGCATCCATCCTGGCTGCGCTCTCGGTATATCTCGGGCAATAGCCCGCTGTATACTGAGCTTTGGGTCACGGTAGGGGGTTAGTATATGTCCTCCCGTGATCCTAAAGAGAACTATGGTATAAAAAGGTTACCCCATAGTTCTGTTTTAAGGAATGCTGACCTGTATGATTATCTTTCTTAGTTGACTTTTGGATAAAACGATGCTGATCAATATAGTAACGCCTTTCATGGATGGAAAAATACATTTCATGCAAAAAAAAAGGCAAATAATGAATGGTAACGAAAAAGGCTCTCTTGCATTACGTTTTTGTAACTGGAGCTTAGTGTAGTCACCCATGGGAGTCAAACGCCATTCCTCCTATACATTTCTGTCCTCCAAGAAACCTTTTACGAAGAAAGTATAAATTCTGCCATTGCTGACTTCCTTGAATATACCACTTTCCTGGCTGTCATGCTGATACATTGTCTTTCTGTCTGAATCCCTGACCTGGAACAACTAAACAGATAAGAAGCTCTGACTTTCATTTGCGTATATGCTCCTACATCGGAACTCGGAAAGTACTACAGCCAGACACAAACAGACAACTAGTAATATCCCAGGAATGTCTGCAATGGCAGCCTCCATAGCCCTCTTGGTATATAATATATATAATTTCAAATTTGATTTTTAAAGATTAATATACATTAATAAGATTTACAATAAGCTCATTTCTTGTACATGTACTGTTTATCCCAAAAATCCCATTTCTTTTAAGTGAAGTTGGTTGCTATGGGTTATATAACTATACACATAATCCTTGTTATGTTCGTTGTCTTATTTAAGTAGTTTTTCTGTTTCTACATTGCAGGTACAGACGCAGATATTTCCCATATTCTCACATCGCTTAATGACATTCATTCTTCTGCCTCTATATTGAACAAGACCTGCCTGCCATGGTCACAGCACATAATCGGTATGGTGGAGTTTAGAAGTTTGTCAGAGGCTCTGTTATGTGCCATTCGGAAAAGGGACTGCAAAAGTGCTAACTACATCCAGCCACTAGATGCACACAACACCTCTGTGTTCTCACCCAGTACTATACAATGGGTGTAATCATCATTAGAAACTGTTTATTTTATTGCTTAAAAAAATGTGCACTGCATGCTTATAGCAACTGTATAAAGATCAGCAGATTTTTAGGTGTTACTTGTATATGTCTTTGTATAAATGTATAAAATATATTATGGTTTTTGTACAAATCTAATATGAGATTAGGAAAAGAAGCCATGACTAGTGCTCAGATAGGAATTCAGACTTGTATTTCAAGTCCTATAGCTGGCATTTGAGCATTAGAATGAACCTTTGCTTTGTCCAGGCCATGCACCCGGTTCACTTTAATGACTGTCCCCTTAGCTGCATATACTTCTCGTCCTTTTGCTGCACCACCACTTTACCATTTTTGTTTGGCTACGGGAAGAGAAGCCCAGTGTTACCACTTAGAGCTTGCACATGGCCCGTGTAAAAGTATTGAGTCTCTGTATGGCAAGGCACCAGAGCTGTCAAGTAACATAAATCAAGGGTAAGTATTTTGTTCCTCAATATCTGGACATAACTGTTATTTTTCTTTACTCACAACTGAATAGAGTGGTAGGGAAGGGAAGGGATGTTGAGTTAGGTGCTCCTGGTGAGGCCCCTTTAGAGTGAACCTGTTGCTGTGCACTGCATGAGAGAAGCACATGCTTGCTTTAAGGTCTTTTGGCTATTAGCACAAGAATTAAAAAATGTAAATAGAATACAGTCTTTGTGAATTCACTAATTCCAATGCTCTATATTTATAATGTGATCACACAAAATAAAATACATACTGAAAACGTCTATAGTGTGCGCAGCCTTGTGATTTTATCTACAACAGAGGATGACTCCTAGCTAGACATCTATGTTCTCCAGTCTTTAGTCAGCATTGGAAGTTTTATTAATGGAAGATCAATTTTGGAATGTATTTATATGAATTTGACTGCTGTGCCATGGTTTGATACAGTATATGTAGATATGCCATCCATTATATGATTTCTTGCAAACTGACTGCTGTAAAAAATTCACGTACAATACAAAACTCACTGCATGGTGTATTTTCTATATTATAGTGAACTGATTATGCTTAACCTGAACTGGAATAATATTGGTCGGGAACACTCATCAACTTAGAGATGTATTAAAAGTTATAAGTCTACAAACTTTCATTGGGATGGGAAACATCGGACGCAACCACTATCCTGTGTCTCCATAGTGCCGTCCTGGTTCAGGTATTAGCCAGGGTCAGCATAATGTCCCTGAACTTAACTTCTTCCCCTAGGTGGCACAATAATGTTGGATAGGACATGTCGAGAACTTTATAAGTCTGCACTTCTCACATCACAACTGTATCATTTAAAAAAAAAAGAAAAGCTCTACCTTTTTATGTCACCGTCCTATTGGGGTACCATATTAAGCCATTGTCAGGGGAAGTAATATGGTCCCTGTGTCCAGTAATAAAACAAAATGTGACAAACGCGCATCCTGTGAACAATGTATGTCATCAGCACACCAAGCTTTGTTAATTAGCTTTTTTGTTCTGCAAAATCACCATGTTGGAACATCTAATATTTAAAAAAAAAAAAGGTAAACGGTGCAATGCGCCAGGATCGGCACTGTGACTGCTAGCGCACACCAGTGGCTGCACGTTTTAGTGGCTGCACCCCCGCCTGGCCCAATCGGTTGTGTTACGGGCTTTCACCACCCCTTTGTGATGTGCCCTGGCCGAAACTGCTTGGGCCAAGAGTGGGGTATCTCGGTGACCATATTGCGTGGGCCTGTGCGAACTTGGTTCGCACAGAGCTCCCACACATCACTGCTCTCCATCCTGACCAGGGCAGGCACAGCACAGTATTTTTCCAATCCCAGACCACACAGGCCAAGCTAGTTGACTATCCTGTTCATGGTACAGGGTCTTAGTCTCCGCTCTTGACATGGCAATATCAACGATCTGTAACCAGCATGTGATTTTATATAGGTGTATATATGCTGTATGTACTTTTGGACACACTTTGTCTGTCACCATGAAAAAGGGGACCAACATGCTCTCAACAGTGGTGTGACTTTGCTGATATGCGACTGCAGTAAATTCCGATTCAGAATCTGCTTCTTTGGTGTGCTGGTTTTCTCATCATTTTAGGATCACTAATGTGTCGTGGTCTGATCACTGGAGCAAGAAAAACTGAGCAAATGCCTTCTCCAGCCTGCTGCAGATTGGCATCTTTCTATTAGATGCACCTAGAAATGCATCATTCGATACATGCACTCCAGGCACAAAACAATGCTGGAGCTCACGGAGTGCTTTTTAAAATAAAAATACTGTTGCTATATTGTGATATGCCAAGAATTTATAAAAATTGATCAATTGGTAAGTGTACAGATCTGCTTAAAGATTTTTTTTCTTTTTTTTTTGTGACGGGGAATTTCTTTTAGTCTACTTCATTTAAAAAAAAAGTGCTGCATATTGAAAATTTGTTTTTAATTTGGGTTCTGTCTTTTTAAGTGAATATAAAAACCTGCCCTTCTAACCCATAATTATCCATCCTGATCCCCTTGGAATATTAGCTGTATGTCCGAAACTAAATCCCAAGTTATGTTTTCTCGATATTTCTATCTGAATTTCCCTAGTCTGGTGATATGTAATCATTGTGTGTTTGAAGTGACTTCCACTGTATGCTCTGGTCAATATTATAGACATCTGCTAATACAATCTTTACAGAACAAATTGCTGTAAAAACAGCTCTCTGCTTTACGCACTGCTCTGGTAAATCACACAGCTGTCAGTTTAATCCCCAGTATGGTCTGCAGAACATGGAAGTTCATTGTGTGCTTCTGACCTAATTCGTCATGTTAAATTAATCACTGAACACAATTTCATTTTATGGAAACCATTCTGCATCGTCTAAATAATAATTGAAGCTGTATGGCTAATGTATATTATAAACGTTACGTCGTTGGTGTTCTTATGTCAAACCTCTGGATAGCATGCCACTTAGAATCCTCCCACCAACGGACAAGTTCATGGTTCACAGAGTAGAGTTTATTGTGATTATTAAAGGAGTTGTAGGTCCAAGCATATACTATCCTGTTATAACAACAACATTGTAATAGGAATATATATTATAGATGTTTCTGATAATACAATCAAAGCTTATGTGAAAAAAAAAATCACTTATGTAGCGAGTGCTGCCTTCTGTCTGTCCATTGCCTTTAACAACTTCCTGGATTCCCAGTGTGCTTTGCGTATTTTTCCCTGCTGCTTGATGGGATGCTATCTTGATTTCTTCAGACTACATAGCTCATCATACATTGCTTCCAGCAAGCAATGATAATGTTACTTTGCGTGGACTTTAGAGTTTGTAGTTTAGAAGGCAGGCCCTGTGAGAGCTGTGACACAAGGAAGTGCATATTCACAGGACTGCGTGAAATTGTGTCACTGCATTGAGGAAGTACATCCTATGGACATCTTCAATAGGTATGTTTACAATCTTCTGGACATGGTTATTAGGAGTGGGATAGAACTTACAAAAATTCAATACAGAAATACAGATCTATTTTTAGTTTTTGACCATAGATACTCTTTAAAGTCTAAGGTTGTTAGGCCATTTCAAATGCTGATTAAATCATTTACAATGGACGCTGCTTCTTAAAGTTTCAAAATGTTAGCTTCCTGCACAATCAGCTGGTCCCCTGAGCACTGGCCCTGATATCCTGTTTTAGGGTGGGTCTTTTGCCTTTTAGAGTCCTATGGTGCAACCCTTGTGTGTGCCAGGAAACTGTACTTGTTTCCACAAACATACAGGCACAGCAAGGGAAGCCAAGCCATTTCCCTGCTTCTAGATGGATAGTTACTGCAGACTGTGTTGTGATCTTGTAGTGGACAGGAAGTTCAGGGAAGCTGAGCTGAGAGAGTTGGAGCCACTTGTTTGGAAACATGATGACAAAAAATAAAGCGATGATTTTGCTGGGCAATGTATATTTGATCTGGATTAATTATTGAAAACAGTGTGAGTGTTTAATACTACTTTAAAGTAATATTAAAGGCTAGCATTTTTTTTTTAACCTGAATGCATTCTCGGCATTAAGGTAAGAAACGGCCAGTGCCTTTTTGTGTCTCGTTCTGTGTTTTATTGTAGCCACTGAAATCAGCACAGTCAAAATAATTAAAGACTGAATATTCAGATATCTACAAAACCCAGTCACAATAAGTTCTCCATACGCTTCTCTATAGTTCTTTATACGCAGCTTGAGCTGTATTAGTGCATAACTAGATATAACCTACAACTTCACCAGGAATATTTCAATGGGTTTTCTTTGTGTGTACAGTATTATTTTTGTAGATGTCTGCCTGTCACTGTTATAGTGCTCAACCCCGAAGGAGCCGCTGGAATACCCGGGTCATCCATAGCCTGTCTAGGTAATTTTAGCAACCAGCTTCAGCCCCTACAATTAACCGGCCTCTCCTATTGACCGAAACAGCTGAGATCCAGGCCAGCAATATGATGCTGAAGAACTTTATTATAGCATCTGAGCTGGGAGAGAGGGTTTAGGGCATAGGACATCCATGAGAAAAATAGACAGACTTCAGACTCACAGGTCCGTTTTAGTATTCCAGTGCAGATTCCATATGAGTACACGCTGACACTGAGTATATGAGCAACTGTTGAATAGGGATTGGCAAGAATCTTCAGTAGGAGAGATACCAGACTTACTCCTGAGGTCCACTTTATTCCAGGCACCTTCAGCAGCCATCAGCATCCCTGGTTCTCCTCCTCAAGCAGTAGCAAAGGCCTAGCAAAGCGTTCCCCGCACTCGAGTATTTAAGGCATCCCAACCGGAAAAATATATTTCCGGGAAGTGCCCTCTCCCCCCCCCCCCCCTCTGGCGGGGGGTGGGGGGGGCGGTG